TTATAAATAATTGGGAGCATGCCTCCGTCACCAATCTGTAATACTGGCTTGTTGTGTTATGTTGAATGACTGAGGTGTACTTGTGCCATCTTGTGGTGAAAAGTCCAAACTTGCATTTTTATCAACTTGTATTCCTTTTATGGGCCTGGACAGAGAAAGATCAAAAGGAAAGCTGGATTTATCATGAAAAGCATGACTGCAGTTTGCTTCAAAACTTTATATAGGTTTATGCAATTCCACAAATAACTCATTGAAGCTCAAACATTTAGGATAGTTGCAGAGATCACAATTATTCACAATGAAGAAGATTTAAAAAAGTTTAGTGTCCACGGCCACAGAGAATATTCAGAACAAATTAATGTAAAGAAAGAGCACTTGTATATTATAGAGTGTGGATTTCAATAAAGAAAAACAAAGAAATGTGCCTAGTAATATGTTGACATTTGTTCTCTTTAAAAGTTGTTAGAATATAGTATCATGCCAAAATAAAGCTTCACATTGATACAAGTCTGAGCTCTGTATATTAACAGGCAATCCAGTTGTTATAATGAAATACAAATAGTTCATGTATTTGGTTAATGGCTTTCTTTGTAATGTAATAAAGAAAACAAGACAAATGAGTTGGTCGTGTGTGGGCCTAAGAGGTCACAGTACCAGGCAGACTTTTAGTAAACAGTTATTCTAAAAGAAAATCCAGGAATTCGCTTTTTCTTAGTCTGTCAGTGCATTGGTGTTGACACACTAGCTCTTTTCAGACGGGGTCAGGATGTTTTTCTTTAAACAAACATGCAACTAATTGGAAGTGTACATGGGTAAATAGAGTTCTGTACTTTGGAGTGATGTTCCAGTGTGTGTGTGTGTGTGTGTGTGTGTGTATCAGGATATCAGAGCTAGAATGGCACTATTCTCTCTTCTGTCTTTGTTAGGTTTTCTGCTTTGGGACTTTCAGCAGGGCTATGGAGGTATTTCATGTTTTGTTTATGATACTCATTATAAATATTTTCTCTCTGACTTTAGTTATGCAGTCTTACTTGTAATGTTTAATCAGTACATGTGACAGGTGAAGGATCGGCATTTTTAGTTATTTATGTACAAAAGAATATCTCTCGACCTATAAGATAGATAGATAGATAGATAGATAGATAGATAGATAGATAGATAGATAGATAGATAGATAGATAGATAGATAGATAGATAGATAGATAGATAGATAGATAATTTATTTATCCCGAGGGAAATTCAAGCTCAATTCAAGATTAAGACAATCACTTTAGCATAGTTTGTGTGACTATTCTCCTCCAGCCCCAGCCTCAGCCACGTCTCCAGCCTCAGGGCCAGTATTCCTGTCCGGTGAGGCAGCCGATAGCGTTCTGCAGAGACACAAACGTTATAACACTGGTGTGTTTGAGGAGTTTCTAAAGGGCAATTTGGAGAGAGAGTGTAAAGAGGAATTATGTGACCTGGAAGAGGCCAGGGAGATCTTTGAGGATGATGTAAAGACGGTGGGTATTTATTTAGTTTGCTTTTATTTCATGCTAATTCTTTTTTCTGCATATACTCATCAGAGACTTTACCCTTTTAGATGGAGTTCTGGGCAGGATATGTAGGTAAGAATGCTGTTTCAGAACAGACGTCTCCCAGTTCAAACAGAAAATATATGATGAATGATTTGTTTGTTGTGATACATTTCTCTCTGGCTTCTTAGACTATAAATCTTTTACGTTATATTCCATTGCTAAAGTTACTCCAGGAATGCTTTTATGTAAAGATGTTTCTCTTCCTGCGTTTTGTCCCTGAGTAAACATTGCTTCATATAAGGACTATACAAAATGAGGTAATCAGGCAACCGTGTTGAGGTGTTGTGTCTGGATTTTTTCAGATGGCAACCAGTGTGACTCAAGCCCATGTCTGAACCAAGGGTCCTGCAAAGACCACCTTGGCTATTACACCTGCTCATGTTTGGCTGGCTTCACTGGCAGGAGCTGTGAGATTAGTAAGTGAAAGTCCTGTGGCTTGATTTAAACATAAGATCAAAAGTAATTAGATTTGTATGCTACTTGATCCAAATTTTCTGAGAATATGAGATTACATCTGATCAGATCTCAGTCTCAAAGGATAAACAGCCAGTGACCTTTTTTTTCACTTTCTAAATCAAATGAATGGCTCGCAACCAGAGTCAGCCTGGTTTTAGGGCACAAAATTAGATTGTTTGTCTTTTTGGATATCCTAAAAACAGCACACAAAGTGCCCTCTCTGTGAGTAGTGACGTTACCTGACTCACTACTGACTTTAAAACAAACTTGTAAAATGTGAACCTGTAGCCTTTAATCATACAGGGCAGGTCACACAGTACATGTTTGACACTTGAAAAACAAAACATACAGGAGTGTTTGTATGGAAACAACATGGCATTGCATGTGTGTAACAAGAGGTTTGGTTTGAATTAATGTGTTTTTCTCTCCTCAGTTATAGAAAAAAGGTGTGACGTGAACAACGGAGACTGTATGCACTTCTGTGAATCAATGGGAACCTTTGGAGCAAAATGTTCCTGTGCGACAGGATACAGGCTGACTGAGAATGGGATTAATTGTGAACCGGAAGGTATCAGCATCTTTCTTAATTAATTTTCTGCTAAATATGACAACGACTCTTAATTCCACAATGTGACTCATCTATTCTCACATCACCAGCTGAATTTCCATGTGGCAGAACTGCCCTGACAGAGGTGAGCGCAGTACTCACAAGGTCTCTGCTCAGCCGTGAGAATGCGAACCTGCAGAACTCTACCTCACTGACCACTGTCCACCCTACTACATCCATTCCCTCAACTCCAGCCAGCACCACAGCATCATTTCCAGGAAGCCACTCCAGAAAAAAACTGCCCCCGTGGGTGTACAATGACACCGAGGTCCCCACTGAGGGTCCGTCAACGAATAATAAACGCATTGTAGGTGGCGAGGTGGTGATTCCAGGAGAGATCCCATGGCAGGTACTGTATGAAAGTGGTTTGAAGAATGAAGCATGTAAGGCTTTGTTATAGGAAATGCATGAGGGAAAAGAAACAGCAGGTGCAGTATGTTCACTTTCTTGTAGCTACTCGCAGCTCTTTTCTCTGTCTTTTATTCAGGTAGCATTGATAGCGCGTCCCAGTGGTCAGTTATTCTGCGGGGGCTCCATTCTCAGTGAACGCTGGGTTATCACTGCAGCTCATTGCCTGGTGGAGGCACAGGGCTCCTTCTTCATCAGAGCGGGTAAGATTCACCGACTCGTTTGCCTCTACTAAAGCATGATGGAGTTGCTCTGTGTAAAGTATAGCTTAAACAGTTGAACATTTTTGATGGTTCTGGCTGCTTGTCTTTGTCATATGTAATCTGAGTAAAGACCAAATGATCAACAATTCATCAAGAAAACAACCTGCAGTTTAATCCATAGTAAAAATGTGTTATTGCAGCCCTAGTGTAAAGTTTTGTGTATCATAGTCCTTGAAATAATTACTGATTTCATGTCATTTATTATACTTTGAATACAACATTATTTTGCCATCTTTATTGAAGAGTAAACCCATTGACGGAATTAGCGATATCTGTATCTAATGTCTGTACCTGCAGGGGAGCATAACATCTACATTAACGAGGACACCGAGCAGGATCACGATGTGTTGGAACAGCACTTACACCCACGCTACAACGCCACTATAAGCTTGTACAACCATGACATCGCCCTGATTTACCTCAAAAGCCCTATCACCTTCTGCAGAACAGTCCGACCCATCTGCATAGGGCCCAAGGCTTTCACTGAAACCCTGGTAAAGTACTCTTCCCCGGCTACGGTCAGCGGCTGGGGCCGAACACGGTTCCTTGGATCAACGGCTCACACTTTGCAGAAGGTCGAGGTTCCCTTCACAGATCGGACAGAGTGTAAGCTCAGCAGCAGTGCCAGGATTACTCCTGTCATGTTCTGTGCAGGATACTATAATGAGGCCAAAGATGCCTGTCAGGGTGACAGTGGAGGTCCTCACACAAACAGTATTCATGACACGTGGTTCCTGACGGGCATTGTGAGCTGGGGGGAAGAATGTGCAAAGGAAGGGAAATATGGTGTGTACACCCGCTTGTCTCTTTATTATGGCTGGATAAAACATGTTATGGGAATAACTAAGCAAAGGCTGGCATTTGATGTGGAAGACCCTGACTCTTAGATTTAAGATTATAGATGTTGCGTGTGAAATAAAGTATATTTTTTGGCTTGGTGCTCTTTTAACTTCCAAGGATATAATCAAAAATCACAAGATGCTTTGAATTATATGTGCTTTGAATTTTGCATGTGATCCATGAATCTGATGGTGAAACTGGGAGGTCATGGGTTTAAACTCTGCAACGACCAATGTGTCCATACATGTCAGTGGCATACACTGTATTGAACAAAATTCATGTCATACCTACAATAAACGGACTGTGTACATTTGCCTACTGGTAAAATGATCAATGTTTTACAAGCAGTGGTATTGAGTAGCAGAGAAACAAAAAAGGTATTTGCAAATCCAGGCTTCAACAATGGTGGAGGAAGTATTCAGATCCCTTACGCAAGTAAAAGTTTAGCATTGGAAATGTTACTTAAGTAAAAGTAGAAGTAAACTTATTTTTTTTAAAAATTCAGAAAACAGCAAAAAAAAAAAAAAAAAGAAAAAAAAGAAAAATGCCCCAATTCCAAAGGGAAACTTTCAAAATGCTAAATTTATTTAACTCATAATAAAAAAAAAAGGAAAAGGAAAAGCAAATTTGCAGCAAAAATATTTGTGAAGCTCAAACATGAAATAGTTTTTACATAAAAAATGTCTATAAAAAATAAAAAAAAAAACTGTTAGCTCTTTGTATGTGTTGTAAGTGATGAATTAAAGCTGTCCAATAATTGTAGTGAAGTAAAAAATACATTCCCTCTGAAATGTAGTGGAGAAGAAGTAGAAACTTTCATAAAAAGAAAAGACTCAAAGTACAAGCATCTGAAATGTATGCAGTTACTTTCCACCACTGGGCTTTTGTGACCAAAACCACACAAAAAGGGAAAAGTCTGCACAATTTTATTATGTAACTTGGCTTCCATTAAAACAAGAACACAGAAATAATAGATTCAATCAGTGTATATGAAAAAGAGAGCAGCCAAATGTATTGCTGTTAAAACAAGTACTGAATTATTTTAACTAACCAAACCATTATTGCAATAAATAGTTTATTTGTATTTGATTATTTTTACAGAACTGAAGCTGTACAAAAGAAGCCAGTTTAGAACGGTTACTGTAACAAACCTGTTCATTGTTCAGTTGCCATGCATTTTCATGATAAACACTCAGCATCAAGCTCAGGCTACTTGGCTCATCAGGATACATATTATTTCAAGCAAGTTTTCTTTTGTTTTCCAACCTGGAAAAACTGTGCAAAATCTGCAGCATTTCGGATCAAAATTTCAAAGAAACCATCAGATTTTGTCGTATAAGCTAAAAAGAAATAAAATGGGGTTTTGAAGTGCAAGTCAAGCATAGCTCCCGTAAATATTATGGAGATGTAATTTAATTCAGGCTGCACGAATACCTCACAATGTGAAGGAACATGACAGCAAAATAAATAAATTAACAACATAGGAAATGTGTAGTGTGCAGCAGGCCCTGCTGCTTTCTACACTCATTTCCATATCAAACACAGCGTATCAAAGGCAGCCAACTGGGGCCTCGATTTGATGCGGTAAATTCATATAAGTCTGCAATCAATATTTAATTAAGCGTTCGACACAGAGGGTATATTTCATGTTGGCTGTATGATCTCGTTTAATGGGGAACCCAAGATTAACTGAGCTGTAATGGTGAGGAGGAAACAATCTGCCTCCGTGATGGAGGGGTACACAGAACATAATCTCTCTCTCTCTCTCTCTCTCGGTTTCTTTTACTCCTCGCTCTCCCTTCTCTACACTGTGACTGACAGTGGCCTCCCAAAAGATCCTGAGGAGAATGACAGTGTTTGGGGCTCTGTGGCATGAGCCTCCCATTCGTCCTCGGCACACACTGAGAAATATGCTGCCATCAATCTTCATCGTGTCTGTCTGTCTTACATTACCATCACTGACGTGTCTCCCCTGCCTCCTGAACACATCATACATTCAAGAACAAACAAAGGATATAACAGCATGAATAAGGGGAAATGCACAGTAAGAGAGGTAAAGCAGCAAGCAAAGCACACATTCAGTAGACAATAGGTGGATTTTTTTTTGTCTCTTTTGTTCATCCACCTTATTAAAGTGCCTGTTGAATATTTGTGAGGTCAAGGTTGAAGCAATAACAGAGTTTTTGATTTTGCAAACAGTACCTCCAAAAGAGCAGGAATAGAAAAGGCATTATGGCATGGCACATTTTGGCATTTTAACTCCTAGACTGTACACAAGAATGGTAGCTTAAGGAATGAAATGTAAGAAAAATACAATGAAGTAGTTCAATGGGAAACATCGACTAACGACACAAAGATGAAACACTGAGGCACAATAAATGTTAAAAATTACACCATATATATGTACAAAAGTCTTTTCTTTAAGAAATGTTTCAGGCAAATCCTGGGTTACCATCATCCATCCAGCACACACCGAGACAAACAGTAACACACACACTGAGATACTATAATGTCAAGTAGGAGCTGGAATAAGGAAGGGTTGACAAATGTTGTCCACAAATTGTAAAATGCTGCAGCAGCAACCTCACATCCCGAATGTGTGTGTGTGTGTGTGTGTGTGTGTGTGTGTGTGTTGCAGATGGGAGCTCCAGAAGGACAAGACAGTCATCACCAATCAGAAAAGAGGAAGACCAATCAGGATCCAGGGATCGGGTGTTGATTGTCCAAGAGGGCTAAACAGTTCCTGAGCCTTTGCGCTGGTGCCACAGCACACCTTCATAATCAGAAAACGCCAGCCTCAGGAGGTCGTCAATTAAAACCCAGAAGAAATGAAGGTCTGTAGATCCCCACATTTTTCTCTTTAATGATTGAACTGTGCTAGAGAGCAAACCGGGGAGTGAGGAGTAGGACAGTTATGGCTCAATCTGTTCCTTCTCTCTGTTTTACCATCCACAGGTAAATATTAGATTCACATTCTGTGCTTTCTTCTCTACGGGGAGCTGAGCTTTCTCGCCTTCAGGTTCCCTGGGTCTACAAGAAAATATACAGACTTTTAAAAAGAAAATCAAAGTAAAGAAATACCGTAGCGCAACATCATATTGTCATCTTGGAAGCCCATGTCTTTTCTTTACCGCCTAGTCTGGTGGAGTGTCCTCGACTGCTGTCTCCTATAATCAGCTGCAGGCTGGCAGCAGCTATGAAGGCCTCCTGTCGCCGACTCAGGTTTTTCACCAGCCTGAAGGGTGAAGGAGTCGAGATAAAAGGCAGAGCAGAGATGAAGGGAAAAATTAGATAAACTTTGTTACCAGGTTTAGCTCTTCATTTTCTTTTGCCATACATTGTACCCTTTCACATATGGGATAGTTTTGCTGATCGCTAAGCCCCCGAGAGACTGGTTTATCTCACCGTATGTGTGGTGACTCACCAGCGTCCCTTGTTGTCCTCACACTGCAGTTGGATGGCATCTCCACATTTGATGGTAATGCTGTCTTGTCCATTTTGAAGACAGTCAGCCAAGGCCATGTATCTACCTGGAGACTAACATAAGAGGAAAACCATCAGGAACAAAGTAAGTAAAGATTTATTCTTTTCAAAGTAAAAGTTACAAAGTGCTTTATAATAAAGGTAATTAAGCACAAAATAGAATTAAAACACAGCTAACAGAAAAATATTGTGTCTTAAAGAAAGTATTTCAATTGAACAAGGTTTTTAAGAGTTAAACTAATGTAAGGTTTAGATGCAAATGTACAGTAGTTAGAGGCTCTGTAGACTTGATAGGTAGCCAGTGAGGAAAGGCCAACACTTCATCTTTGTTAGAAGACAGCCTACAGTATGTTGAACCACCTGTAGTCAAGCTACTTGGATAGGTTTCTCAGGCTAAAGTAAAATTTACAGTAATCCAGTTGTGAAGACACAAAAGCATGTAATAATGGCTGATGTTTTACATGTTGTTTGTTTTATTATTTTATTTAACATGGAAAAATGTCTTTTGGCTAACACTTGCACATTTACATTGATGTTTATGAATGCCCATTGTCCCCATAAAAAAAGAAAAGTTAGAAATATTTGTTAATTGGAAAAAGGAATAAAATCCAAATCAAATGTGACAATGTTCAGTACATACTTCTAGTATATAGTTAGGTAGGATGTTGTTGATACCAGCAGATATCCTCTACAAGGAATATACATATTTCTGCACTCTATCTAATGTGGCTGTGTTCTGTCTCACCAGTTGCACCAAAACATCCTCCTCGGTGTCAGATGGGTGGAAGGCGTCCCGACCTCCAGGCCACTCCTCCAGACCCTCGCAGATGTCTACTGAGTGATGAGCTCCAGGCCAACCTGAGACACACACACAGTACTCAGGCTGTTACAGGTATTTATGAATGCATTCATCAAATCACTACACCTTAAAGGCGCCATGTAGATACTTAGTAACTATATCAACATTATAAAGACCCCTTGTCACTTACTGGGAAATTAACAAGAACGTAGAATCAAAAGCTAATCTCAGTAGTTGGACCTTTTTTTCCAAAATTCCTCGAAGTACCTGGTTCTTCAAGTCAAAGTACACCTGAACTGCTGAGGGGGGAAAAGTCAAATATCTACATCAGTTAGAGATTATGAAGACAATCAGCAACAGCAGTGCAATACTGTGCATAAAAAACAAAACAATTCCTGTAACATTGTCTGTAATTTAGTTACTAAGTATCTACTTGATTATGGCATATGTGTGTGGATAAGATTTACTCACTCCTGCGGTTGTGCTGGTGTTTAGGGGAGTGAGGCTGGGGGTCTGGACTGCTCCTCCCTGACTCTGTATCCTCTGAGCTCACTGACACCCTCTGCTGCTTGCTGGGAGGAACAACACAAAACAAGGTGCGTCACCAAATGTGGAACACCGTCAGCAGCAGACACGCACAGGATAGATGTTATCCTCAGCCACACAATCTAGGGTCAGCTCTCGCTTCCTGAATCTGATCTATGACCTTTGAAGGTATAGCTGGCCCTAGATCAGTGTCAAGGGACAACTCTTTTCCTGTTGTTTTTCCACACAGCCATGACCATTCAGGCACCAGCCAGACAGCAAGACAGAGCACAGATCAGCCATGTGCAAGTTGCTCTGAAAAAGTGGGAAGTACACGTCAGCACAAAGGAAAGATCTGGTCTCAATTTATCGAGACCCAAATTTAGAGATTTGGTCGCTCTATTATTAGCTGCTAAGTAAGAATGTCTCTGGAAAGCAAATTCTACAATAGCTTGATTAGATCTCAAAAAACGAGCCCCATCTTAAAAAACAGCTGTCATGAGGAAATTAAGAAAATTCATGGGATGAAAACCAAAACTCTTCTTTTTTGTTTGCCCTTTGCATTACATGCAAAATAGCAAGTCTTAAATGTAGAAATAAGAGTAATTGCTTTTAAAAATGCCATGGAGGAGAGCTGCTAAGACACAGGCCTCTCAACGTGGCGAGGGAGCGTGGGTGTCAGTTATGAACCAGAATGGAGGCTAGAAAAACGGGGTGCAGGTGACGATCAGTATGCAAACACAGCAGCCCTGGGTTTTTGGTCCCCAAGCCAGGCCAGGTGGGTCATGCCAGGGCAAGGCGAGGTGAGCCAGGCTGAGTTTACCACTGAGCGTTAGGGCAGGTCAGTGGCGCTGGGGGCGGTGGCGGGGCCGCGGCCGGGGCCGTTGCCGGGGGCTTCGGGGACGGGGGCTTCGGGAACGCAGGCACAGAAACACGTCGGCCGACAACGAGGCAAAGTCCAGCCCCGGCAGACAGCCCCTGGGAACCCCTCTGGACGGACGCATGCCCCTGCAGGTGGGGGATGGGAGGAGTGGGGATAGGCAACCAGACAGCAGTGGACAGACTGGGGGCCTGCGCCCCTTCTCACACACTGCTACACACAAAGCTTCTATTAGGGCAATGTGAAATGATACTATCACATTCACTCAAGCTGCGATCAGATATGAAAACTCAGCAAATGCAGATAGTAATTCTGTGACTGCATGTGTGTGTTTTTCATATGCCTTTGGGTTTGTGTGTTTGTGCGACTGTAGCCTAAAGTCATGCGCTTCACACACAAGTGTAAGTACTGTATCTGTAAACAACCATAGGCACTGACCTCTCAGAGAGTGGTGGAGAAAGCTGCATGTGTCCAACCATCTGACCATGTTGATATACTTCATCTGTGGGAAGAGAAAGGAGGTAATGTAAGAAAGAAGGATTTCCTTTCCAGTGCAGGTAGTCAGTTGATTCTGAACTGAACATTGACTTTAGTTTAGAGTATGTATGTTCATTCTTTACGATGAAACAGATCACCCCCTCTGTCTAACCTGAAGATACAGGACTGGAGAATGGCCTGAGTTTTGTCCCATCTACCATAGCAGTGCAAAGTACTATGTATAGATGTGTGTATTTATATGTGAGCATGTGTGTCAATGCATGTAGTATATAAGAATGGTATAAGTATAAGAATGGGCAGATTGTAAAAACAAATTCTGTTTATGGGACAATAAAGACTACTTCTCTGTCTGCTTTTGGGAACAGTATATGGTAAAGAGAATCAAAGTACAAACCTCCACTTAAAAGCTTCAGAGCTCTCAACCACGTCTCGTGTTCTCTGGGGCTGTGAGAAGCAGTTAAAAGCTCCAAAGCTAGAAAGTGGACCTTTGCACTTTGATTCTCTGTCCCAAGTGAACTTGAGTTGTTCTCAAACCTCTGAGTAGCTTCTGCTGGTTAGTCAGGATTCTGCGAAGCTCATTGAGCCAGGCCATCTTGACTTCCACGGTAGGAGCCTGAGAGACAGAAACATTACAACAGATGGTCAGTGAATTACAAGATTCTGTATATATTTCTGTCTATTCCAATAATGATGCAATTTCTTCTGTTAGGCCACTATTTACAGTGTATACAATTAACAAGTTGCCTCCTAGACTTAACACTTTTTAAGACCATTATCCAATTTAAGACCTATTTCACATCCATACTGACAAAAAAAGTAGGAAGGATATGAAGAAAAATCTGTTTTGGCTCCATGTTGGTTTGTTTTGTAGTTGTTACAGCATCATCAATGCAAATTTTCCCAGAAACCAAGCCTAAAAAATGCAACTTTATACAACGTTAACTTAATTAATCCAGTACATTTTTTAAGACCTGTCAGAATCATATTTAAGATATTTTAAGGCCTAAAATAAAGATTTTTGGATTTGGGACTTTTTAAGACACAGCAGAGAGCATGAAATCAATAAAAAGAAAAATAATTTCCAGAGCTGTTGGTGATATTTTAAAATGTACTCTTTTGTCCCACCAACAGGAAACCAAACCCAAACATTTTAGAAAGTTGATTACAAAACAAAAAAATAAAAATGAGTGAATAAGTGAGAATATAAAAAAGGGGCCATTTTTGCTTTAAAAATATAATTAAAAGATTATTCATTATCAGAATTGTTGCCAATTCATTGTCTAAGGATCAACTTATCATTACAGCTTCTGTTGAAAGGGTTTAAATTACCAATGAAGTACTGTATTTAAACTGCCAGCATTGAACTTTTTCAGACTCCTTACCTGAACCACATACACTTCCTCCCTGCCACTGTACCAGATCTCAAACTTCTTCACATCTCCCTTGACATTCTCTGTGATCCCCACAGCAGTCATCTGCCAAGAGACATACACTGTTTACACCGACACACACACACACACAGCATTAGGACAGGGCACAAACAGCACATCATACATCAGGCTTACATCATGTAACACATCTGTCCTGTCAGAACACAAACATTCACACACCTCCGCTGTGTGACTGCTTCCTCCCCACATCCTCAATAATAAATCAAGAGCAGCAGCTGTTGGTGAGACACCAGCTGTGACACCCTCTCCGCACATCAACACATACAGCAAATACAACAAAAGAAGTCTTACAGGAATACAGCAGGTTCTGTGGCCAGCTGGACAACTTAGATGTGTTAAAGATGTCAACAGAGATGGATACCAGTATCAACTATGTGACTGCAGGAGATCATTCACTTCATTAGTAAGTGCTACAACCTACGTTTACATCATGTTAGTCATAGTGACAATGATAATAAGTGATTAAATGTGATTAACTTTTACCGATGTAATAAACCATTTGTTATATTAAGTTGTCATTGTTATGGTAACTTCATTTTTTGGGTTTTTTTTCAGGTAGATTGTGTTCAAAATAACTTTCTAGTACGATTCACTGCTGTCTAAATAATAAATACCCAAACTTTATAGAAAACATTGGACTGTTCCAAGTTTTATGCACTTAAATCATTATCATTTTGACAGATGTTGTATACATGTAATTTACACATCAAGTCAAAGCATTGTACTGTAGAACATTTACCCAAAGTACTGCTATGGACACTACATTCAGTATTGAAAACTTTTACTCTTAACATTCGAGCACTCAAATAAATTGGCAGGAAGTAAAAACGTTTTTTTTAAATAAACTTTTTTTCACTGGTTTGCTGTGAGTGATTTCAGGCACAGCAGTAGTTTCCCATCATCAATCATGTTTTTATATAACCAAAACAAGTCTGAGTTTAGGGAGACTTTTAAAAGTATTCTGTGGAGAATAATCCTCATAATATTTCATATTAATTTTTACCAAAACTGACAATTATGGTTACATTTAAATAAAATGAAATAATGTACAATACTCTTTGCTTACATAATAGCACTATATTCAAGGTGAAACTATATTTTCATGTTTTAATACCACATTTTAACCAACGTAATCCTCTATGATGCAAACAAACCACACAAACAAAAGACACAGACCAACCTTGAGACAGTTTTTGAAGCTGTACGAGGGGGTCTTGTCGCAGCCATCTCCATGCTCCTCCCTCCGCTTGCAGAAGAGCAGAGCTCTCTCGTATAAGAAGAGGTGTCTCTGCATTGGCTTGAAGCGAGCCAGCTCCTTCATGCGCGTGGGACCTCTCTTGTGGCTGATCCACACACTGAAAGAACCCTGCATCAGCACACGGCCCAGCTCGCAAATTTCACCCTGCAAATAATGGGGACAGGGATTTATCTTAAAAGGGTTAGAGTTCAGTAATTCAGAATGTTCACTTTTTATCAGTCAAACATGGATCAGAACAGATTTGGTTCACCTCATATCCTGTGATGGCTATCTGATGCATGGAGTCATTGACTGATTTGAGCAGGTCCAGCATTGCTGTTAGTGCCCCCTGCAGTTCAGAAGACCCCTCGCAATCTGTACTGTATTTTAGTAGTTCCTGAACACACAAACAAAATAACAGACATGTAGTAAAATACGTGCACACACAAATCCATGCAGAGCCACACATAAATACAGGCGCTAAAACAGTACCCTCTACTGGTAAAGACTTATGATAAACAACAAGGTAAAATAAACAGGCATGTCCGAATCTATTGCTACATTATCCAGAACTACTGAACACATGTACTGTATTCAGTTGTGTGGAAACTTATTTCTGATAGGGGTTTCAGAAACTGGTAGTGCTGTTGGTATGTTTTTGATAACTGGGCACATTTGCTGCTTTTGTTTTCCATCTGACATGGTGCTGGCTTGGTAGAATATCTCTGCATTTAAGGACAATACAGCATATACTCACATACTGTACATAATGTAGGTGATTGACTTTGTGTGCCTGTTTTTGACTTGATTTTGCTCTGTGTCTAACCTTAAGCAGAAGCTGGTATTTCGTGAGGCGTTGGACTGGTTTCAGCAAGTAGGAATCCAGGCCCAGTTTGTGCTCCAGCTTTTTTTGACACTCCTGCACAAGGAAGACAAATAAAACCACATTTAAGTGTTCGTCAGTGACACAGCTTTTTAACTGTAACTGTGTAACTGTAAAAGTGAAAGAACAACAGTTGTTTTAACTTTGTCCTACATTATTTTTTTTGTATGAAACTAATATTCATTGTAATGACACCAAAATAGTTAATTAATCAGAAATAAATGCTACATCATGGCTAAGCTGACCTGAAAGAAGGCACAGTCTGAGAATTGTCTCCACAGTGCCTCAGAGCGCGGTTTATTCTGACAGTAGCATTCATACATTTGAAAACTCTCTTTCTGGGGAGACAGGAAAGAGAAATCGGTTTGAAAAATATGGAAACAAATTATGTACAAATGATCAAAATATAAAGAAGCTACACAACATAAACATTCATATCATCTCACCCGCTCCAGAAAACAAGCTCCTACACCTTCCGGGGCCTCTAGGCATCCTTCCAGATCCTGAAGGAAAACTCTGGATACCCAGAAAGGTCAAAGGCCAAGAATTAGATCTCAAAAGCCAAACAAAGTGACTGAAATGAACACCATAACCCACCACCATAACCCATACCCTCCCACACACAGGCTCAATACAATAACTGGCTGTTGGGGCCTCTGCCGGCACCCGGCCCATGTGACTACTTCTTTCCAGAGGCACTCGCTTACCGAGGTTTAGTTTTTTTAATAAAAGAACACATGAATCATAAATCCTCTGTTTAGAAATACTAAGAGCAGGGGTGCTGCTTCAATTGGTTGTGGTTTTGGGCAGGTAAGAGTAGCTCAGGTCAGATAAGTGAGGTTTTATTGTATTTTTTGTTTATTTATTTACAGTTGGTTGCATTTATTTTGATTTAAGTGGCACCCTTTTACCTTTGTTCACCTCCTTTGTTGTTACCTACAACTAATCCCTACACCACCACCACCACCAATTCATGTGATTTTATGTAGTTTCCCTTTGTAACATTGGACTATACACAAGCTCACTCTACAGAAACCACTGTAACTATGAATGAAATCTCCCTCAGTACCACACACAATTCCAGCTAGGATGGTGTATTTGGCTCTACAAATGGGCAACAAAATGAGCCATGGACCTCAACGGAAAGACAAGATTAAAGAAGGAAACACGAAAAATTCTCCAATGTGTATGTTTTAACCCACCAAAGGTTATGTTTACATTCACTACCAAATACTATACAATGCTACATGTTTGGCTGTCTAATCTTTCAACAGACTAGTAATTAGATTAATTAGCATTTGTGTTAAGGTAGCTTTCTAAAAAGAGATCAAATGTAACAAAATCATATAAAAAATTATAACTCTGTTATGAAGGTTGCATCAAAGGCTAACAGAACTATCAATAAATAGATCTTGGTGTGCCAAACCTTAGTACAGAACATGTAAACAAGGTACCAATTTTCTGTTTAAATAGACATCACACCCTTAAAGTGTTTTACCTTTACCTGTTACCTTAAAGGACCAGTGTATAGGATTTAGCTACATCTAGTGGCGAAGTTGCAGATTGCAACAAACCGAAACCCCCTGACATGAAGGGGAAACTACAGTGACAGTGAAACTTAATAGGCGTTATCTAGAGGCAGTGTTTGGTTTGTCCGTTCTGAGCTTCTGTAGAAACATGGCAGTTCAACATGGTGGACTCTGTAGAAGAGGACTTCCTCCCTATTGAAATGAAAAGGCTAAGGTAACGAAAAATACAACGAATCTCATTTTCCGGTCATTATACACTAATGAACCATATGAATATTATATTCCATTTCTGCCAATAGATCCTCCTCAATGTTACACACTGGACCTTTAATCTTAGATGCTGCATGGTTGCAATATTGCTTAATAGTAAATAGAAAATCTGTTCCATTATACAGTAATCGACCACCCAATGAATATTGTATTTTGACTCTTTGACTCACACATAACATACATGCTTGTCTTTGTATTAAAACAGGTCTATGTGTGATGTGCCTCATTAATCACTTGCCTGCTGTGAAAATTGTAGATCTCAGGCATGTTCCCAAAGAGGATGTCTCTTTTGCTGCGCAGGATCGGGGGCAGAAGCCCTGACAGAGCTGGGTTGTCCATCTCAGCCCTGTAACCCTGCAACACAATTAAGACAATATATAGTTTATGCATATGCAATGTAAACAGGAGTTATTTAACCAGCAACACATATGTAATACACACATGGAATAATTGAACATAATAGACAGTGTGTTTTCTCACCAGCAGAACTGACAGCAGCTCTTCCACATATATTCTTTCTGTTTCTATGAGTTCCCTCATCACATGACTGTGACACGGACATACAGAGAGAAGTAGACAGAGAGACAGCCAGAGGGCATCATTAGCACTGAACAAAGGGAATCACAAAGTAAACAGCATCAAGAGCAGTATTGAGGACAGACAGATGCCTCCTCCTCACCGCTTCAACTGATCTGGGCTGTCCTCCAGACCGTACGACACACAGCTCCGGCTCTCCTGGTAGTCGTGAATGACCTCTATCTGAACACACCACAAATGAACAACACTGGCTATTCCATTTGGATTTAGACAAATTGTTATTTTACTGAAGTAAAGTGAAGTTTGTTGGACCAAAGAAAAGAAAATTAGCTGGACACAGCTGTGAGAGTGAACGGAAGTAAATAAAACAAAAAAACATTTTCCTTACTTTTCTAGGGTTGGGGCTCTTTCGGGATGTTTTCTTCCCGGGCAGAGAGAGGTCGAACGTGAACTTCAAACCATCACCTGTAAAAGCCAGATGATCAGCTGCAGTATACACTTACGTGTATGAGTGTAATTTACATACAGTATATTTACATGTGCTCTGGTGAGGTGTATTGAGTAGATGGTTTGTTTAGGTACCCAGACTAAATAAAATAAAATAAAAATAAATAAAAATAAATATTGTTTTATGACATGGCCTCAAAGGGATTTGCTTGCCCTGCTTATGAACTTCTCTATACCTCGATACCGAAAAAAAATCTGCTTCATAACTGACATTTGAGGTAATCAATGATAATAGAGTGCCTCCTCTAAAGGTGCAGCCTGGAAACCGGTATGTACAGATCTAAAGCAGTGTTTGGCACGACTGTCAGTGTCCTTTTGATCCCAGCAGCTGAATCCTTACATGATAGTCCAAGCCCAACCGAGTCTTGTGCCCTTTCATGTGCCATGTTACATTAATCAGTCATGTGTGCGCACGCACATACGTGCACATATGCATGTACCGGATCAAATCAATCAAAGCTAACCACTTTTTTCCCCTTCATCTCCTCTCCTAAATGGCCGGCGTCCCGAGAATCAAGGGAAGCCTCGGAGGAGTTCATAATCACTTTCATTCTCTGTCTTGTTTTTACTTTCATTCGCATGGCTTCATATCATGGAAAACAAAACCTTTAAAGACATGAATGGACATAGAATAAAGCCAATCTTATTAATCTTAATCAATTTTACTTTCACACACTGATGGAGATACATTCGATGGCGCAGTAGATACATTCAACTAAAAAGAAAACACACCAGATAATACATTTAGCATTAATTAAATAGCACTGAATATGGTTAGCTTTGTGCAACCACCCTGGAGACACAGAGGGAGATGAAAGGTGCTTTAATGTATATGAACCACATATGGTTCTATTGCAGCTATCCTGACTAATAGATTAGTCAGGTATTTCCCAGTGGAGTGATTATACCTTCTGCCCTTGTTACAGCTTGTTTGTAAAGGTGGCCTACTGACCCCGAAGCTCAATCAGGAACACCTCAGGCCTACTCTGTGGGACCCTGTGATGTGTTAATGTAACCATGGTGCCTAAAGGAAAGATGCATGGAGGGGAGGGATTCGTGCCAGGCCATTAGGGCCGGGACGAGACCCCATACTGGGCATGGGAAACAGGGGTGGCTCTGTGTGTGTGTATGTGCTGTATACCATGCTTGGGGGAAAAGAGCGGGGACTTGGAGCGTGGTGGGTTTTCAGGCCTGGGGGCCACCAGTTGGACTGGTCGTACATGTTTGTCAGCCAGCTTCCTTAAACAAGCCTGTCGGTTTTGGATCATCTGCTGCACTGTTGCATGCTTCTCAAACGTTTCTCCAATCTGGCCCTGACAGAGAGAGAGAGAGAGAGAGAGAGAGAGAGAGAGAGAGAGAGAGAGAGAGAGAGAGAGAGAGAGAGAGAGGGGAACACAGAGGCAGGATAGTCAATAGTTCAAGGTCAAACACACTGAAGTTTTACTGCTCCAGCTGGTGGTCTGAAAATGCAATGATTTAATTCTTTTAACAAAAAAAAATGCAATGGTCACTGACCTGAACCGGAGATGTGATGACAGCCTCGTACTCCATGGCCAGGACGTCAGGTCCTGAGCTCAGCATAGACGGCGCCGCCTCCAGTAACCTCTCAATGTCCCTCAAAGCAGCCTGAGCCCCCTCCTTAGACTGGAACTTATCTACTAGCTGATTGGCCAGCAGATACGCTCCATCATCACACCAAGTTTGGGCCTGAAGGTGGAGAACACGTGTATAACCATAAAGACGTTTGTGTGTATGCGTGTGTGTACGTGTGTGAGAATGCACATGTCTCAATACCTGTCCGAGACAAAGCAGCAGCTGGTGTGTTTGCAGGAGACGAGTGTGTTTGGTCTTGAGAGCAGCACTGAGTGTATCACAGTAGTGGCGAAGCTCGTTGCAGCGCTGCATAATAAGAGCCATGGCGTAGTGGTGACCGGCTGACAGCTGGTGTCCGTGAAGAATGATGATCTGAGCTCGAGCCATCACCTCCTGATAAAGCAAGAATGAAGGAGTCATTTTTTTGGACACACTGTGATCACAGAGACCGTTTTGTCCTCTGGCACCCACTGTATATACAGTATAGGGTATTTGTAGCAAAAGTAGGTGCAGGTAGTTGCAGATATTTGCAGTCTGATTAGAAACACTGACCTGTGCATTTATTTCCAGACTGTCCAACCTTTTGAGAGCCTGTTCTGCTTGAGCCAGAGTGTCAACAGATATGGGCAGCTCACTCTCCTGAGACATGAGATGGTCCAGACACAGCTCCATCTGAAATAAAAATTCTAAACATTCTAAAGCCTGCCTGGTGTCTCGTAGAAGCAGTATAACTCACATTAAAACATGATATCTCATGAAGTGCCCAAAATTAAGAGATGAGAATGAAAATACAGACCATGGATGCAGACATAAACACACAAAAACATATATACATGACCAATATGTGGAATTCTTACCTCCTGAAAGCTTTGCTCATATCTGAGCAACTGCAGGTACTGATGGAGTTTCAGATGATGCTTCTCAAAGAAGCCATCAAAGGCTGATTCCATGTCTCTGAGCTGTGCAAGAAGCCTAAAAAGCAGAAGGAGAAGAATATACTTTCTGGCAACTAATCCAAGAAATGCTACAGTACAAGAAAGGAAAAAAGCTTGAAGATGTCTTACCTTTGTACTGTCTCCCAGTCCAGCCTCACATCCCACTGGGAGTCATCATCCTTCCCAGAGGTCTCCAGGCTTAAGAGAAGATGACGACCCTCCTTTGACACTGACCTGATTGCATCCTGTCAAACAGAGGACATTTTACATCAGAAACGAGCAGCATTCAACATAGAACTTTATGAAACACTACTACATTTTGAAGAAAAGGTATAAGAATAATGCAATTGTGGTAATATTAATAAATGAATGTTATATGGAAACATTTTAAACCATACCTTGAGCTTCCTGTACTTGTCAGTGTGAGACTCCAGAAGATACTCGATTGCTTTCCCCTCATCAGGCAGCTCTGTCTCCGCCAGCTCAGTGCCAAAGCCCTGCAGCATCTGTGCGATGTCTTTGACTGTTACAGCAAAACTTTCAATAGCCTGTAGTTGAAGAAAAAGACAAAGAATACAGAAACAATGACATTAGATCATGTGTGGGACTATAGAAACTATCACTGAACTACCCAGAAGCACTTAGGTGGAATAGGTGTATTTCCTTGTGTATGTTATGTCATGTTCATATACGCAGAATTGATCAAACTGGTAAACAAATATACGCTCAATCATAGGGGTGAATCTCAGAAAATAAAAGAAAATAACAGGAATAATGATACAGTTTCTTGTTTGCTCCCAGATAATTGATTTGTAGCTTACTGTTCGTAAAACAATCCAGTCACTATGACAATAGTCCAAAGTGCCTCCAAACTCTGAAGTCAGCTGGTTCTCATCGATGTAGCGCAGCAGGTCTGTGACAGAGCTCAGCATCACCACCTAAAGGTGCAGACAAAATCTGAGACCTCACAAAGAACACTTTGTACTTTTAGCAAATTGTGGCATGGTCAATTTTTCTTTCGGGTTTATGTATATCATTACATAATGTTTTTGAAATATATAATAGTTTTTTTTAAATAGGAAAGCTAGTTTTGGAAAGTGCAATACTGGAGGACATATGATTGGCACCAGAACAAAGGGTAATAAAGTAAATAACCACTGGCATGTACTCTAGGTTGCTCATAATAGTCAGTCTCTGGAAATGGAACGACAAACATCAGATTTGTACTGCTGATACAATTAAAGTACTATTAGAAGCATCAGAGGCTAACCTGCTTATTTGTTTCAAACATTAAAACAGAAATCAACACGTGTTCGTGGCTGTGTCCACCACAGAACATTTGACTCATGGAGATCAGGGTTGTAAACAGGAACGAGGTGTACCTTGTTGTGATGTGGGACATGTTTGGTAACTGAGGAGGAGCTGCCTTACTGGCATCTTGAGCATGAAGTCCTCTTGGCTGAAGCGAAAGCCAATATCAGTAACAGTGCGGTGGAAAAAGCTGGTGGGTCGGAGCACCAAGACCAGGTGGAGGTTCCCAGGAAAGGAAGCCTTGAGGAGGGAAAAGAAGTTCCCTGTCATATTGAGGATGCTGCATATGGAGGAAGATTCAGTAGGAAACAAAAACTCTTCCATTTTTCCACAGTGCAACATCGACCTGACTCCTGCATGCATACCGCACAGGAAACGACTGTCAGGCAGTCTATTACTGCCCGCCTAATGGATTCAAGGTTCAGTCACTACACAATTTACACACATGCAGTATGCTGCACTTCATCTTTAGGTCGTTTTAGGTTGTTGCCTGACTGTGTAGGAATGTCTGCTCAGTTTCTGCAGTATCTATAAGACACAGAGCTGGTATTACAACACTATACCTCTCTATGAGCCTACCATAGGTGTGACGAGAACTGTAAATAATTACTGTGGCATGCTGTATTGTAAGAAAATAAAAGAGTTTGATATTCTATCCATAGTCAAGGAATTTCATATTTACATCATGTGATTGCAAGTCATACAAAAGCCAGCTCTGCAGAACGGTTCATTTATACTACATCGCTTCCTATATATTTACTAATTTCTTGAAATGTCCCCAATGCATGCATTTTGCATGTGACGCAACTTCTGACATTCATTTGTCCTAACTCGACCACGGGGGTCGAAGAGTCAAGCTTCTGATTTCAAGCTAAACATGAATCAAAAAGCCACACATCAGTCTGATTAAGTTTCATTCAAGGTTTCACACGCAGCCAATGGCATGACGAAGCAGGAGCGCGCGCTGCACCGCAGTGCTACACCCCCACCCCCCCCAGCAGCCACAGCCGGTGCCACTGCCGCATTCACCCTGCCCGCCCAAAAACTTCACCCCAAACTCCTCTGACGGTGAACAAAACTAATGAGACGCTCGTTACCGGGCTCCGGCGCATCTTCGGTATTCCCCGCCGGTAAAAGCAATCAGCCATGGTGTTAGAAGCCATCTCGGTTAAACGTAAGTTCCCGCCCGTCCGATGGAAATCGGTGCCAAGCTAAGGTATGCAGCTCCCTCCGCCTGCCCGACCACAGCCGCAGCGCCGCTGCTGCCTGCTGCCTCTCAGACGGAGGGTGGCAGCGCTGACTGCAATGTTTCCCTCCCGCCTTCCTCCTTCCTCATCCTTTCCTCTGCTCAGCACCCCGCGTCATCACACCATTTTTTGCTTACTCATACATTTGCAGCAGTATGCAATGGGACATTTGATGCGGACAGAATGTTTAGGCTGCTACACACACACACACACACACACGCACGCACGCACGCACGGAACTATACACCAAGCCGAAACCCTCTCTTATGCTAAAATATGTTTGATCTCATGGATGCTGTGAGGGTGTCGCTCAGGTTTTCAGCACCATGGACAGCAACTCATAAATAAAAGAGCAGGCTATAGGCACAGCCATGCTGCAGCTATTTGTCATATGCATGATGTCTAAACTGTCTGTTAGGAATATTGATTAGCTACAAATGGCCTGGGTGGAAAGGCAAAATGAAATATGAAACTCACTGCTATCCTGGCAAGTGCAGTTTTGATGGAGGCCCATGTATCCAATCTCCGGTCTAAAATGATGATAAATTTGACTCCGGGTTGCCTCGTTCTGCAAGAAAAATAACGCAAATGTACAATCAATCTGTGCAATCACTGAGAATTTGGTGTTTTGAAGCATGAAATCGTGAACAGGTGGATTAGTCAAATCATCCTGTAAATTTGTGTCATTTATAGGTGCTTTACAACTACATACTTTAGCTCTTTATCATTTCAAATTCACTGCAATGGTACATGGGTGAAAAGTATCCAATTTAAAGTGTTAGTCTCTTGGGAGAGTGAGGTTTGGACATAGAGGGCATCAGTAGGATATTTGACACAGTGAGCTGAGGAGCAGTTGAGGCCAGCTGTGCTCAGAATACAAGCGCTGGGCTTTTGGTGCACTGCAGAAAGGGAGAGAGTCAGACAGGAATAGATGAAGGAGGACGCACCGAGGAATGAGAGTGAGGTATGTAAAGACTTTGGCTAAAGCTTCCTCTGGAATGTCACTGAAAGCGGAGCATTCTGGGAGGGTGATGATGACACTGGAGTCTTCCCCACGGCCCCCTGGGGAAAAAAGATAAAAGCAATCGATTACAAATGTGTTTTTATAGCGTAAAACAATGTGGAAGTGAGTTTGGTCTTTGGTCATTGACAACTCTGGTGAGGATTGGACAGAGATTCAAATCAAACAATATTTACGTACTAGAACTCTTAGGAAATAACTAAACAGGGCCTCACCTGACAGGTATGCCACCTGTTTCTCTATGTAGCCCCCCACCTCCTTCAAGCTTACAGGGACAGTCACCTCTGGAGAAAGATACACAAATTATAAACAACTAAGGCTTGAATACCATCACAGGTCAAAACATTGTTACTCATGCCCACATAAAAAAAAAGTAATTGTGAGTCTGACAGCAGTGTGCAGGTATTGTTCCATCCTGTGTCTAAAACCTACAAAACAGCAGGCTAAGAGTTTATTTTGCATGGCCTGAATACTGTTTCAAAGGTTTTTCCACTGCGACAACCACGCTGAAGCCTTTGTCGCCTAAGTTTCTAGATGAAAGTGCTCACATTTAAAAATAGCAACTTGTACCGATCAGCTTTAATCTGAAAATAGAGATCTTTTGAGAGAGGTTCCATGATACTCAGCAGACACTTCAGCTGGATATGCTGCCTTACTATAGTAGATATAAAATGACATCATTAAAACGCATTAGCTCGTCTACTGTACAGCCTCTGAGCTGATGTTGATGTAGTGTTAAGTTTACTGGCCGATAGCCCAGTGTCTCATGCGTGGTGCCATTAGTGTTTTAGTCTAAGTGGCTAATAAATGCACAAATGTCTCTTATAGAACAGTCATTGCAGTTCATACATGTGCCCTTTGGTGCACCAGGAATCATTTAACCAAATGTGTAGAAGGCCGACACACTGATCTGTTGAGACTGTTTTCATATGCTCACACTGCTTTTACAGTAGATTTAATACATGTAGTGGATGATCTTATTCAAAGTAAGGCACACAATCAGGCCTGATGGGTTTATTTGTTGATGTGGAGACTGAAGCTACAAAAGATATTACTTTAAGAGAATTACAATGGCAATGTCTCTTTAATATGAGCTCATTTACTATATCATTATATACAGCGAGATGTGGAGTATAACTTTCCAGCTTTCTCTCCAAACAAGACTTATAACAGACATAGGAATGGAAATTAATACAGTAGGAGGAACTTACTTATTAAAACCATATTAAACTAAAGGTATCTGCCCCTGTTCAGCAGTTTATGCAACAGATCACCAGGGCAGTAAATTAGCTCAAAATAGACATTTTTCACAGCAGCCATTTTGGCATGAATTAGTAGAGTAAACACAGTTGTTACCTATGGTACTAATTAAATTAATTCAGTTCCATTCCGGTCAAACAGAGTCAGGGTGCTGCTACCGTGCATGCTGGCTCACACGAAAAGGCTCTGCTACACTAAATGGAATGGAACCTTAATTGGCTGCTGTGAAAAAAGAGACATTAAAAATGAAGTGGAGCGGATAACTAGAAAAAGACAGTCAGAAACAGAGAGAGAGACAGGGCGGGAAAAAGAGAGAGCTGGGAGGAGGAGGAGGTGTTAATTTCCATGCGTCCGCTGCAGTAATAGTGCCTGTCAGGCTGTCAGGGAGCAAGTAATGAGCTTTACTGGTACCTGCTGAATATTTGATGTGTGTCTGTAACAAAGAGTAGCTGCTACCAACCCAGGCCAGAGCAAGTTCAATGGCTGGGCTGTGCGCACACACTGTAGATGCAGGGTAAAGTTACCGTCACGCTGGAATAGTTATATAACCATTTATATTCTGTGACACAAGACCTTCAGGAGGTAGAGACAGGTACTAAATGAATGGATGTAAGTTAATGTCATTTTCCATTAGGATAAGGGGCCATATGTAAGCATATTATGTTGTGAATTATTTATATGAAACAATGTGTAAGTTAGTGTGGGATGTAGAACAGTACATGATGTTAGCATGTATGCAATATAAATGTTTCACAACTTACAAATAAGATGCCAACGAGCAAATCTATTAAACAAATTATGAGCACAGTACTGAAGTTGATGCTTAAGAAAAACAACACAAACAAAGGATACACAAGCACCAACACTGCAGACCTCTACTGCATTAAATCAGACGAAGGGCAGCCTGTGCTGCAAACTGCAACGCTGATAATAAACTTGCCAGTTTAGGGTGATACTGTACTCTCCCTTCACCCTGTCCAACTAACAGTACATGCCACAATCCAATTCATTTTAGGGCACTGCCATATAAAAGTATAAAGCACAGTTGACCATAAATAACTTACTTATATGCAGACATTTTAAACAAATAATAATAGTAATAATATCACCATACAATACTCAAAATATTTAGAAATAAACAAATCCCTTTTTAGCTGCAATTTTGATTAATAAATGCTGTGATTCTCTTTGAGCTTACGTCATGACCTTTCCATGTGACATGCAGGACAGTGTGTGTAAGCAAAAGTCAAATAACCTCTGTTTGCTCTTCCGTTCTTACACACATAGAAAGAGGAATGTTTGCTGTTGTGGATGGAAACAGAGATTTGCTGCCAGTCAAACAGATCCAGACTCGGACCAATCCGTTCAGTCTGCATACAAAGCTGAAGGCAGGGTGCTTATCTATGTTGTCCAAACAGTGATAACCGTCGACACTGATTTCATTACACACAGCTCCTATAAAAAGCATTTAACCCCCTGTTCCTTTTCAAGTTTTATTATTTTACAACACTTAATCACAGGGGATTTTATTAGGATTTTGACAAAGAATAGCGTAAAAAATTATGTCAAAGTAAAAAAAACCTCTCCAATTCGAGTTGTGTGTAAAAGGTCAAAGGGTGTGTATATTTTATGTGTAGAAAAACAGCGACTGGCCTTTACAGGGAATGACACAATATCATTTTTTATATTGGCTGAGCAATTGATAGCACAGAACCACACCTTAGTCACCAAGTACCATAAATCTTGGTGAATCATACAGAATGACAGCAAAGAGAGGCTGGTTTAAGTGTAGAAAGTGCATATACCCAACATGGATGTTGCGTTCAGTTTGATTTTGTAGAGACCCAAAACTCGGACAAATGTAATCCTTTGCAGAGCAAGAAATCCCCTCTTACACATACAAACATAGTACACAGAGGACAAGCCTCATGCTGCTTTTAGGTCATGAGATATTTTGCTCAACAAAGCTTTCAATGCTAAGGGGATTAGGTGGCTGCATTCTGATAGAAAAGGGTAGATGAAAATTTTGTAGTTTACCAGCTGGGATACATGAAAACTAGATTGGTTTTAGACAAGAAAGGCCTAGATGGTAAGCCCAAGACAATAACCACAATATCTTTGCCTTCACTGCTCACACATTTGAGCATCTATGACCTGTTTAGTCTGACAATAATGTGGTACTTGGGTAGAAGAAATTTAGTAGTTTTATGGTGACACATTTGACTCTAAAAGAGCAAAAATATTTTGTGCTGTGGAAGGAGGAATATTTTTGCATTTCCTGTGCTGTGTATGGGCTGCTAGTCTCTGTAGTGCTGATTTATCATGATTCATGTGGCTTTCTGTCTTATAATATCACAAGACTGTTTGGTCTATATACTGCTGTAGAGAAAACAAGAAAAGGAAAAATCTTCTAACGAAAATTCTCTTTTGCTCATTTATGCTGAAAATTGCAGGTACAAACACGGTAGACAGGTTAAAAGGTTAAAATGTTAGAAGTTAGAAGTGTGGGAGTTGCAGTCTACACTGAGGCACTTAAGGCAATTGAGGAATGCAGACACTGAAAGGCAGTTGGAGTGTAGTTGAAGTGGCAATGGCAGAAGGAAAATGTTGCTTTTACTGTGCTGTTAGCCTTTGTAGGGTTTAGTGATTAATAGTAATTTAATGGTATCTAGCACACTGCTGTCAGTATAGAGAAACTTTTATTTGTTTATGGTACACTGGACCAGCTGGAATACTTGTTTCTACAAACTTAACTGATAAGAAGGACAACTCTAAAAGGAAGATTTAAACTGTAATCCCAGGGGAGTACAATCTTCTTTTGGGTGTTGTCTAACCACACATTCACAAGTCCCTGTATCATGAGTATTGTGTAAACTGTAGGTTTACTTTACTCCCATACTTGTGGGAGGTACATTGGAGCAGGAGTGATCATCTGTAGGTGTAGAAGGAAGAGGGCGATAGGTGAGCTATGTAAAGGATACTGTATCATCATTTCCCATGAAGTAAATGATGAATCTGTAGTTATTGTTCTCTACTGCAAACAGTAAGCAGACTAGGACAGGAGTGGAAGGCTCACATTTCATACAAAGAGATAAAAAAGTAACCTGGTATAAATAGACACTAAGCCTTTTCCCTGCTCTCTCTGTCACCTACACACCCCAGTGCAGGTACAACGAACCCACAGGAGACATAAAAAGGTAAAGGCCCATCAATTAAACAATAACTCAAGGCTGCCAAGATCCCAGAGTAATCACATTAGCTTTGAGACGAGGCTCCTCCGTGGAGCTGTCAATCACATGAGGCACTATTTCTGTCCATCTTATCTTAATTCTTCATCGCCATTATAGCTTCAGAATGATGACTGATAAATGAGGGTAATGTTGATGCTTTTTAAAATGACATGTCAATGACATTTTATGTGAAAGTAAAGCTACATGATGTATTTTCTGATCACACTACATTATCTTTCAAATGGGTTAATTGACATAAACAGCATAAATTCTTCTTCCATCCACTGTCCCGCACTGATCTACAACCCACTATAGTCTACAGATATTCCAGCTACAAACCATTACTATGGATAAATATTTATCCGTCTGTGATGGCTTGAAATAGCTGACATAAGCCCTGCAATGGCCCACTGTTGGAGGAGCAAAGCTGCAGGAACTCGCACATCAATAATACTGACTAACCTGAGATACAGGGTGCAGTTCTACAGTTACCTCCTATAATGGCTCTAAGAAGCTACAACATCCTAAATCAAACTTGTGTTACAGCGCATTTCAGTTTCAGTCTGCTGAACTCACTACTGAAGAAATGTAGTAATGGCAAATAGCTTCAGAGCAGATAGAAGGTTACATTCAAAAGCCTGCTAGTGACTCCCAGAAGTTAAATGAAGACTGTCAGCATCTTGGGTACTCACGCTGCAGAGTGCTCTCTAGCTGGGAGCCAGCCTGCAGAAGGTAGCGGTAGCTCTCCATCTCTGCCTTTGGCTCTTTCTCCGGCTCTCTCTCCCCCTGCAGTGAGGCTGGGCCCATTCCCCCTCGCCTCCGACACTGGATCAGGCTGAGAGAACCAACGCTGTCGTGGGAGGTATTGACAGTATAGTCCAGGCCTCACATCCTCTTCAGAGTCCTATAGGCCTGCATAGTGTCCCTGTATCAAAGCTGGAGAGCAACAACAGGGAAACTTGAGCCCACCTGCCCCTGCGGGTCCCAAAATCCAGATAGGACAGTTCCCTGAGGCTGCAGCTGGATTTTCCTGACCTTGAGCTGCATAGAGTGCCTCCACACTGAGCAGCACAGCAGAAGATCTGTCCACATAAGCAGAATGAAAACAGTGGTTTGCTGTCCTGTTGTTGCCCAGACTGGGTGTGATGTACTTTTCCCCTCATTCAGTCACACTAGTGCCGGCAGACTGCCCTACTCTCAGCAGCAGTCAGCTACTTCAAAACAAACAGGGCTCCATCTGGCCACTGCTGTCTGTCTCTCTGTCGCTCCTCCCCTCCCCTCCCCTCTCCTCCCTGCCTTCCTCCCTCTCTCTCTCTCTCTCCTTCTGTCTGAGCTTTAGTGCGTCAGCTCTGCACCGCACAGAGCTCAAGAGTGTACTCCTGACACACTGCCAACTCCCTCCCAACTTTTCTCCTCACTTCACACTCCTTCATGCTCTGCCTTTTCTGTGTTCTATGCCTTCAGTATAATGCTGACTGTTCTACAGTAGGGTGGATTGTTAGGCTGTCTGGCTGCCATGTTCATGTCCCCACTTTCTCCAGCTTTACTATAATGTAGATGCACACACAGCGGAGAATAGATCTATTGTAAAATCAGAAAATGAAAATCTACCGCACCCTCAGCCAACAAGTTTGGCCCATGCGAAGCACAGCCTTTAATACACAACAATCACATTCAAACAGAAGAACAAATATGAAAGGGTGTCATTGTGTACATACAGATACACAGAGTCTTTCTCAACTCAACTCCCCGCTGCTCAGCCCACAACTGCACTGAATGGATCAGTGCTCATTAACAATACAGACCAGAGTGGAGAAAACTTATGTGTATGTAAACCTTCTTTACACAGTGACTCACAGTGCTTGATGTTTTCTTGATGGGAGGCCACACATGGAGGAACGGGAGAGCGGCAGTACGTTGCCCTGATAGGCAGCCACTCAGCTGATCCAGCTTAGCCTCTCAGCCATCTCATTACTGCACAGCATCTGCTTAGTGTGGTCAAAAGCACACAAACACACACACAATCCCAGCCGCCCACACATACACACATCCTCACATCAGACAAACCTGCTGACATAACTGTTGGTGTAAAAAAAAAAAAAAAGCACTGTAAGACGTTGGTTTATCTTCAAAACATTCTGCTTTATTACAGAAAATCTTCAGGTTTTGAATATACTTGTTTCAAAGAGGTACATTCAGCTTGGAGGTTTGGAGTGTTGAGGCTGGGACCCAAAGGGCTGGAGGTTTAGAGGTGTCCCTGCTGTATGACGCAGGGCTGCTGAGGTGCCTGAAGTCGTCCACCTCCACCCCCTCACAGACAGGGACAGCGTCCACAACCACAGAGCCTCTCGTGCTTTTTTTTGGACATTTTTGATTTTATTACAAAAAAGTGGCTGGAAAAAGGTTGCATTAAAAATACAATCCATTCTTTTATACTTTTCATTTAGACAGGCAAAACATTAGATTCCAAGATATTTTTAAGCTCTGAAAATAGCATCTCTGATGTCAGTTAAAGGTTTTTCATTTGTTAACAAAGCAGGCAGCCCCTCTCCTACAGTGTGTCCTCTTACATCCGGTATCTCCGGCACAGTGCAGTCTGGAGGTGGCATGTCACAGAGTAGAGAACAGCCTCCTCCCCTTTCCTAACATCAGAAAAGCAGACTTACTCTTAAGTAGAAAATGTTGCTGAAAGGCATGTACACTTTTCCAATTTATTAAGAACAAATCAACATTAACTTAATTTTTAAAATCTCAATTTGGCGTTATGACTGCATGAGCCATTCTGCAGATGATGATGCAGATCAAATATGTCAGGTTACAGTGAAATACAAGGCCAGTACTAGAAAGTACTATACTGGAGATATTATTTGAGCAGGAATCAGTGAAAAGGTACACTTTAAAAACATACTATTTGTAACATAAATGATATACATAGTGATATGTACTCATTAGTTCAAACCAAGAGTTAAAATAACCTGGCAAGTGGAGTGACATTGGTTCAGAGGTTGATTTGGGGATGTTGGGAGTGTATTGGGGGGCTGCCTGTCTTTGCATGTATGACAAAGACTATCAAATGGTATTGGCACGGGCTCACATCAGGGCTGGAGAAACACAGACGAACTCAACTGGCACAAAGCTGAACACTCTCCACAATAAAAAAGATCTATGTAATAAAAGTATAACATTTGTGAATAAAAGTACACTTAACAATAAATATGTGAAATACACAATACGTGTTTGGAAAATAAAAAAGAAGAAGAAAATATGACAAAACAGTATCTAAAGGTGTTTGAAAACATGGCATGTTTAAATGGAATGTATGAAGCACTACACACAAAAAGTTAAAGGAAGGAACAAAAGACCAAACAGTCCACTCCATCGTCCTGTCGGTCAGCACATCTGACCAAAAACAAAAGGAAGGAGACTGAGTGTGAAGCCTCACAGTGGCGTTAACTATGCTGACTCAGCAAGGCTGGAGTTGATTCTCTTCACACTCCAAATTTAGCCTGCCTGAGATTAAATACGTGAACTAGATAATGGGTAACAAACATAAATACCTCATTTAGGCTTTAGTGCATGTGCGCATTTATGTGTACAATGTGTGTGGTTATCGTGCGTGTATTGTTCTCGTCTATCGAATATGTGCGTGTGTTTGTGTGCTCAGGCATATACTCATGTGCCTTAGTGACCATCTACGCAATGAAGAAACCAGGTTCCTTAATAGTGCAGGAAATGTCTAACCGAACTACATCAATAAAGGTTCAAGTAATCCCGGTTTTCATGACACGCAGGCGTTTCTGGCATTTCTCATCCAGTACAGCTGCACGCACATATGTAACACACAGGCACACACACTTACACACACACCGACTTGTCACTTTCAGACACTAGTGTGGACAGAATCTGATCAACTTACGTTAGTCTTTTTTGGCTTTGAGCGGATCATACATCTCTAAGCTATATACAGTACAGCACATATATTAATCTTCTCATCTTAAATGGACTCTTAAATTATCTCTGAGGTTGGAAGATTTAGGTCACGCTCCGAGCAATGTTTCATTGCCAGAACATCTCTACTCTATCTCTCAATCTTGCATACACACACACTTTTTGGATTGAGTGGTATTATGGCCTCGATTAACGCATCTTATACCTTAGTATATAATAGAGAATCATCTTTAGACACAAATAATCACAAAATAATCTATAAACCAGAAACCCGTTCTAACAGTCTGTATGCTGATTTGAGCAGAACTGAAATCACCATCTGTAACTTTTCATCTTGAATAATTTGGATGAGTGTATTTCCTGAAACATATGATTACCATTTAAAGAATAACCGTTGAAAAGTGCAATAAAGTAGAATAACCATTTACCGTTGACAGTGGTGTGTCAATAATTGTGTCCTAATAAAAACTCTGCCGAAAACAGTGACTGAACATCAGTGGAGTGAAGCGTTCTTTTGAGCCTTCATTCGAGCCTTCATTCATGCAGGTGAACCATTCTTGGAGTGGATATTACAGCTGCTTGTTAAAACACAGCAGTTGGGTAGAGCTACTGACAAGGCAGCCATGTATGCATTCATTTGTAAGCTAGTATTTTTTTTAAAAGAAGTAAAAGAAAGAAAACTCATGCCTGTCATCTGAGTAGATATTTTAAAAAATAATGCAGGGCACTGCTCTGCAGGCATGCGTTAGGAGATGTTAGGATTGGACAGAGGAGGACGGAGCAAAGGCGCCAGTCAAAAGACTGCGAAACCCCTTTTTATCCCTTCCCCCCAGTCAGTACATCTCTCTTTTTCTTCTTATTTTTTTCCCCTCCATTTCTTCTCCTTCTCTTTCCAGATCAGGCAGGATGGCAGACAGCTCTGACCCGACTGGCACCATACCCTGAAAGTAGCTGATGCCACCGTTGTTGCAAGTCCTTGTTGCCTTTCACTCGCGCTCCTTCAGGTGCTTGTAGGATAGTGGTGTGACAGCTGCAATCTGAAAAAGCACGAGCAGACAGCTTTTTACACGGTGTTTTCATTCTGAGCTTGTGCCAACAAGAGGAAGAGGACGATACACCTTGAAATCATCAAAAATCATCAGAGAAAAAGAGGTGATTGGCCACATACCACGATACAATAAGAAAACATTCAAATGACGCATTCCCCACCACCAGAGACAAGCAGGAATTAGTAAAGGAAATGTTCCCGATTCATCCAAGTCTACTGATCTGTTGAAGCTCAGCAGGGATATTTAACAAACAGAGAAGGTTAAGATTGTCTCGCCGTAGTTTACCTGGATGTTTGTAGCAGGCCGTTCTCTGACAGCTATAGGGAGAATAGAAATGCAGGTTAAACAGTGAAAGCTGTGGTTGAAAAGGCTGGTGCTACTGTTAGGCGACCGATATCGGTAACCCTGGTCAACAGTGATGGGAGGGGGTGACACTCAGACCTACCTACAGGGGGTGGACAAAAAATGAAAACACCTACACATTTACCACAGTATCAATTCGACAACAAGGTGTAGAGATGCCGTTTCACCTCAGAACACCTACAGTACTCTTGATATCGCTCCTATACACAAGGAAGACATAACTTTAAAACACACCGAGTGTGTTAATTGGAAATAAGCTTCAAATATGTTTAAACATATTATTAGTCTTCCTTTAATTACTTTTTTTATCCATGGAGACTAAAAGAGTCAAATATTAAATCAATCTGACATTATGAAATCATTTGAATAAATACAGACAAAATATATGATAAACCATGAAAATTGCGAAATAATACAACACATTTCAAAAACTCTGGGGTAGGGGTTGGCACACCAACCATAAACAGCAATGTCCCCAGTTGTATTAAAAACACCCAAAAGGCCCATAAATCATAAAAAAAACAGACTTTGGACATAATAACATGAAAATACTGGAATGAACTCTTATTGTGAAAAGAAGCAGACTGATAACATAGAAATACATAAAACATATAATACATTTCATGGTATATATTTCATAGTTTGTCTGCATTTATTCAAATTATTATTTATTCCATAATATCTTAATATATATGTATGTATATACTGACACTGGTTTTCCATATTTACCGTAATTATGTTTTCATACCTCAGTTTATATTTTATCATGTGATGTTTCCATTCATTTGTCATCCCCCCTGTATGTACTGCGGCAACGTTCGGCCTGAGTTTAAGGCAATGTCACATCATGCAGTGAGGTAAGCTCAGCGCTTCAAATCCATTATTTGCCAGGAAAGTAAGCAGACAGCGACCACCAACACAGGTTACGCACAGGACGAAACAACCATGACCAAACCATCACGACACAAACAGTACAGAAATATCAGACAGTTATAATCACATACCAGCTCTGTTGTTTCACACTGTCAAACAAGAAAACCAGAGCAAACTGACGACACCTTAACAAACTCAGACATTCCAGGTCCAAAAATGAGATGGACTGAAATTAAAAACATTTAAAATTGGGTTTTTAAAAGCACATGCAGAAGATAATACAAGCTGTGCTTCCAAAGGGAGGCTGAAAGGAGCATGTATCTAACAAAAAACTCATTTAAGGTGTGCAACAATAGGCCTAATGATGTACTCACAGGTTAAATATATAAAAAATGTTGACACTTTAGTCTGACAAAGAAAAAGTGCATCTCTTCAGCCAGCCAATATCAGCATACACAACACATAAGAACACACTGGGTCTTGTTGATCGTGGCCTGTATGCCATTTTGCCTTTGATTCTCTTGTTAATACTCAGAGTTAGGGACGAGAACTGCTGGAGAGGTTGGCTGGGGGATTGAGTCTTTGATTGGCTTAAATGGCCTGAAGGTAGGCTGGTACCTGTTTAAATGACAGTATTGGACTCATCTGAAAAGGTTCTCATGAGCAGGGGCCTGGCCGAAGACCGGGGAGACTGGCGGCCCCCCGCGCTTGACTGAACTGGCTTCTTCTAGAAGAGTGAGGCAAGAGACACCAATGACATCACTACGCTGACAAACACATACACACTCTGCCACTCTTTCCTTCTTGTGCTCTCCCTTGCACACAGACACACATATATACACAGGGAACAAACATGTACATACACAAAGACTTCAAAACTGGAAAGGTGGACAATGAAAATCAGTCCAAGTGGCTTTTAAGACACCTTTACCTTGCAATAATAATTTCCAGAGGCCTAGAATCTATATGAAATGCTCCAAATTAATACAGGGCTACTATCCTTGCACATTTCTCAAAAGCAGGTACAATATAACGCACGCACACACACACACACACAGACAAAATGCAGTGGCCCGCAGGGTTTGTGGTGAGGATCCAGGATGAGGTTGTTGACTTGAGCCTCATGCAGGTAAGTTTGGGTGCTTTGACGTGCTGCATTCACCTGACTTGACATGCGGAGGCAGCAGGCATTGGAGCAGCACAGGCAGCTGGGACGAGGACACTGACTGATACAACTGGACAGACAAGAATGGAAGACTGACTGCACGTGTTTAGCATGGACACCCGGTCCTACTCCACACTGCTGGTGGAACTGGGCACACCCTGGCCCACTGAGCAACATTCCTCCCAATTAAATAAACATATGAAAAGCACTCAAGTCAAGGTTTAAAGATGCGGCCCGCCAAGGATAGCATTCCTGATGTAATAATTCATCTGAAATTGTCTGGCCTAATCCGTCCAACTGAGTGGGGAGAGTAAAAATCCACAGAACGCCACCTTAAGTTACTTTAGAGGTTAAGGAAGGAGTCTAACAGTGGGAGAGGAAGGACACAACAGGTAGGAAACAAGCAAGACCAGTAGACACAGAAACGCTGCAGGAAGAGTCTTAAGTGTAAGGGCTGACAGAAAGAAAAAGAGACCTCAGTCACTCCACGAGAAGCTGTGAGTGCTAGCGGTCTGCGACAACATGAAGATAGTAGATGTCCCCGAGGAAGGAAGGCGATGTTTCATCTTTAGGTGAGGCAGGTCCAGAGAGGAAGAGAAGAAGAAATAAGAGACAGAGCAAGAAGAATGTGTTAAAGTGTAAAAGCAAGAGGTAATAGTTAGGAAAACAAAGTTGATAAAAGGGGATGTTCTAAAATAAAATGCGTAAGTACCAGATAGTTACACTATACCACCTATATAGTAACGATTGTCATTTTAATCTGTGAACTGCAAAATGTCCTGCACCTACTAATAAAAAATATTTATTTTGTACATTTTTGATTGATTCTGCCACTTCACCAACTGTCAGACAGACACTGAAACAGACATTTTAAAAGACAAACACTGTAATAAGACCATATTGTACAAAAGGGCCATATGACGTCCTTCAAATATGTGCAAAACATTTGACTTGGTTTATTACTTTACCCAAATAAAACAAGTCTAGACACAATTTAAAGAAAAACAAGGGTGGAACACACCCAAGAGCACAGCGCATGCCACCAATCATTTCCAGCTGTTTGGAAAACACATTAGCTTCATGGGGAGCTAATGACAAAATATGTCTGGGAAAGTTGTCTTCTGGAGGAAATGGGAAACTGTCCCTCTGAAATCAATTCAACAATCTGCAAAAAAAAACTGCTAAGGATATTAAAGCCTGGTCTCAAAGACGCAGTGGAGAAAACTAAAAAGATTTTTCAAGTTATAATCCTGTGTTAATAGTTCAGTCTCTTGGTATATGCAAACTACTTTATATGTAAATGTGACATTCTTTAAGTTAAAATATTTTGCATTCACTGCATACATAAACGTCTTCAATCTAATGTGATTACAAGCGACTAGCTTGCCCTATCTATTATAGAAAACAACACTTGACTAATGTGTCATAATAGCTAGCAGACTGATATCATGGATAAGGTGTGTGTTTGGATGTCAGCTGGAAAAAAATGAGGTTGAGGTCTTAATTTACTCTTTTCTCCCTCGTCCTCTGCCTCCTGATCTAAGAACACAAGTAAGAGAGTTGTTGGTGGAAGCCAACAATGAATCGTTATACAAATCCAATCCCATTTTAGAGTGATCAAATAATAATTTCTCAGAACTACACCCAACCCACATCTTTCACTTCATTTGGATATACATCAAGCATGGGTTCCATTAACAACAGCCAAACCCTTGAGAAAATAAGTAGTTAAATTGTCACAACAAATATATTTTAAGTTTGAGCAATGTAAATCTGGAACAGAGAGAGAGAGAGAGAGAGAGAGAGAGAGAGAGAGAGAGAGAGAGAGAGAGAGAGAGAGAGTGAGAGAGCGAGAGCGAGAGAAGTGAAGTACAGTGCAAATATGTGTGCCAGGCAAAGTATGTGTGTGTGTGTGTGTGTGTGTGTGTGTGCGTGTGCGTGTGTGCGTGTGTTTCAGCTCTACCTGTCGAGCGTGGGGCCCGCGGGGTTTGCGGAACACCACAAGCAGGATCTCTGGCAGTAGGCTGAGCAGGATGAGCAAAATGATGACCAGCCAGGCTGAAACCGAGCTCAGCATGTTGGCAAACACAAAGTACAAACGTTGCTGCCTCAGGAAAGGCCTGCAGGAGAGGGAACACTTTGGTTTACACCGACACGAAGAGCAATGGTGGTTGAAGAGATGAAAAATAACAGGTTAGCCACTATATAGGTTATTTTACCCTGAGTACTTACCATATTATTCCTCCCCAGAAGAAGCTGAAAAACACGTAGAAAGCCAGGGAGCCCCAGATTACAAAGTGGTTGATCCATGTCCAGTGCCTTGTGTCCAGAGCAAGCTAGAGTGGCAGAGAAAAGTCACTAAATAAATACGTCAAATATCCAACACAACACATATCAATGCTCTGAAAAATCTCATGTAAAATGGCTGCGCTAATGATACACTCTTCCATATGATAAACAAACAACAAGTGAGTGGGTTTACCTTTAGTGTGACAGTGAAGACCAGGACAGTGAAGACAATTGTTCCGTATGACCAGTTCCCAAAAACCTGCATTTAAATAAAGGAAATGACCACGTGTACTTAAGAGAAAATGCTTAATCAAGTAATTTAATATCACACAAATTCTGAAGGAGGATTCAACCAAACCTGGCCATTATCCTGCAGTGCTGGGTTACTGAACAAAAATCGAACACCAAAGAAGAAGAGCAAACCATGGAAGACTCCAAGTAAAGTCCAGTAGAGGAACGGTCCCCACCGTAACATGGCATTCTTTGCAATCTCTCTAAAGAAAATCATAAAGGAGAAAGACAAACTATAAACAATGAAATAAGGGGAACTAAAAAATATTTGAGTGAGGAATGTGAACAACTCTTCCTACACCACAGAAATGAAAACTAAAACTCACACTTTTAATGTTTAATGTCCTGCATTAAGCCTTAAACTGCCTCAGCACATATATTTAAACTTAAAAATTAGTGTAGTCGATATATATATATTTATCTATATATATATTATCAAAAGGGACAACGATCGATTGAACATAGAAAGGTAAATGCCCAATTAAACATCAAAGAGTTAGTGTGTTACAGAAACAAAAATAGTTAACTAAACTTTGACTTTGGCAGAGGGACTGGGTAACTTTTCATTAGATTTCAAAATCTGCATTAAGATAAATAATCTATGGCTAAACAGTAACAAGATATGGCTCCTTTTCAGCCATTGCTGTGATCTCTTTTTGACTTTATTTTGTGACTGTGCAAGTACCGTAGGTACATTTCTGTTTTCCACTTTTTTAATTATTTCTTTTAACTTAAAGACCAAAATATAGATTGGGCATTCAATTAAAAGTGTATTGAGTTATATATCAAAATTCGAGTTCTAAAACGTGAAAAAGAAAATCATAATTTATATGCTCATTCATCTTCTTTACTTTAAGGTAGCAACTCAAAAAGCACATCTACATCTACCTGGTGTTGCGGTGCAGATAAGCACATGTTCCCAGGTTTACCTGTAGAGGGTAGCATTGTCCAGCAGAACCTCCATGCAGATGTGCTGCTCCAAGAGACTGTAAGCCAGGATGGGCATAGAGGTGAAGCAGATGTTGTACATCGTCAGATAGGCCGCGTCATACAGGGGCTGGGGGGAGGATGGGAGCAGGAGGGGGGAGTGAAGGGGGAGGGTTTGGTAAGGGGCAGGAGGAGGGACGGGGCAACCAGGGATTAATATCATGGAGAGGACAAAACTCATACACACCATCATACTTACACATACGGTATGTCATATAAGCAAGCTTATATACACATATTTCATGTATTTATGGAAGATTCATGTCAGGGGCCATGTGGCATGAAGGAGAATGACCTATTCATTCTCACGTTACACAAACAGAAATACCAAAACATAATCAAATATCTTTAAAAGGATGATATCTATATATTAATGCACTAATTAAAAGACACTTCTATGCCAGGAGCAGTTTTTTTATATGAACACAGTACCATAAAATGTTCTAAATCTATACAGATTTTAAAAAATATACTTATTTCTCAGTAGGACTAGGGTTATCTCTCCCAAGTGAATTCATTGATGTGCTCCAAACTATAATGAGGTCATCTTATCCATACCTGAATTTCTCTAATGTATTGTTATGTCATTGTGCTGGTAACAGTGTGACACACACACACACACACACACACACACACACACACACACATCACCATGATTACATAATATCCTCATACAATGTACCATGGTGGCAGAACATCACACATGTCTCCATTATCTTAATTGCTATGTAGTCTAAGTCCGTATATAAACATATCAGTCAGAGCTCAAACAACCCAGGGGCAGTGAGGGAGGGGCAATCTGAGGGAAAGAATCGAGGACAGAGGTGTGGAATCAAGGGACACTGCCTCCTTTCACGTTCACAACATCTTTGAACCTCAAAGGGCCTCAGGACATACTCACCTGTTGGGAATAGCCGCAGAAGAACTGGTACAAAAACTGAGGTAAGATGAAGCAAAGGTTCTGCAGGCAAACAGAGAAAGAGAACAGGTTCACATTGATGCACGGAAACATCAGAGAACGTCAAATGCATTCACTCTCATGTGCTTATAATGAAGGTACAAATCCATTAACCCAAGTTCAAGCTACAAATCTATTAATCAGATTTAGATCTGTCTCTTCACCACATAATCCTCAGATCAAGTTATTGTGTGGGTTTGTTTGGGAAAAACAGGCTTTGCTGAAAAAAGTTCTTGGCCTGAAGAATAAAATGAAAGCAATGTGACTAAAGCGTCTGTTCCTCCTACCTTGTAAAAGAAATATTGCACCAGGTGTGCAATGCGAACATAGTAGAGATGCCCATGAGCCAACAAAAGTTTCTTGAGGTGCTTGAGTTTGGGGATGGCATAATCACTGTTCCTCACTGCCTGCCGACCCTCTTTACCCTTAATACCTGAAACACAGGGAACAAATATCACACACACACCAAAAGGTTACCCATCCTACCATTTAGAACAACAATTAGAGATCTGTTAGCCAGCTTCAGCATATGATTTCATACCAATGCCAACATGAGCTTCCAAAATCATGCTGACATCATTGGCACCATCTCCGATGGAAAGGGTGATTGGGCTTCCTTTAGAGTTCTTCACCATTTTAACTATCTAAAGATGGAGCAACACAGAAGGACAACATTAAAAAAATTAAACCAAATGTGCACTATTTTAGGCCTTTAACAAATAAACATTTGTCACGATTAAATTGATTGTTCTGACCTGTGCCTTCTGTAAAGGAGCCATGCGGCAGCAGAGCACAGATGTGCAGTTTTGACAAATCTGCAGGAACAGGTTCTTGTAGCGATTTGAGTTGGATTCAGAGGAGGAGTTGAGCACCATCGAGAGAGTGGCTCCATCTATGATAAAACCATAGTCCTGGCCTGCCGAAGACCAGCTCCTACCAAACAAAACAAGGAAATGGGTTTATTAATCAACTAAGATTCGGTTTTGGTTAAATGATAACCCTAACACAGCAGCAAAGTATCACATAACAAATCCAAAACATAGACTGAGATCCTGTAAGTCAGGGCACCAACCTGGTGACGCCTGCCTTAACTGGTGGTGCATCCTGTACAGCTTTCTTGTGATATTCAAGCAGGAGATCATGCAGTCGTTCCTCACGCCTCCTTCCTCCATCCTCCAGAGTACGCACCGTCAGCTCCAACAGCTCTGTATTTCTCTGGAACAATCTACAAGCATAACAGGTGGACTTTGCCGTCTCCATCTTGTCCCCCGTTAGGACCCAAACCTTCATGCCTGCCCCCTGCAGAGCCTCCATGGTCTCTGCTGCCTCTTCTTGAAGCCTGGGGGGTAGAAATGACACTAGTGAAAAATTATTGCACAAACGTTAAGACATAAATACTATCCCTAAAAAGAAAAAACAAAAGTTCAACAAAACCATGGACATCAGGGTTAACATTCACAGAAGATCTAGTAAATTGCATTATAGCAAAACCAAGCAAGGCTGCTGGTTTTCTGCAAGTGGAACTTAAATGAGAATAAGGATGCTGTTATTAAGTTTTTAATCTTGGACTGTGGAAGAGTACCCAATGTCAACCACAAGATGGCGATGTGAGCTTACATTAAAAAGTTTTGGGATAACAGGGACTATTAGCTGTCACCAGAGTGGGAAATTACCACCAGTCAAATGCTAGTAAAATATGAAAGTGGCTGGTATATTTCAGACACAGAATAATGACCTACATTTACACAAGCATTTATCTGTCAGTGTTTTTTTATTTTTTATTTTATTTTAGGTGTATTCTGATTATCTATGCAGGTTTTGCCCCTCAAAATTCGAGAGGGACGACAACAGCAGCATGCAAGATAACAAAAAGTTACGCAAGATGCGCGACAACTTTAAACATCAGCAGGTTCATCGCTGAGATCTGTACAGTTATGTTGTGTGAGCACCCACCGATCTTCTACAGCAGTAGCTCCTATTAGACTCATGCCGGTCTCCACTTGGTTGTAAACAGTCATGAGCTTTTCCTCTCTGTCCTGCAGAGCCAGTCTAGCTTCCCTCAATCCTGCATCGGCCTGGGCGTACTCCTCTGCACTGAGAATTTTGTAGGCCACACACAGTGTCCGGTAGCCCTCCTGAACAGTGAAACAAAGCACCCAATGTTACAACAAGGAGACACAAAAGTCTTGACACCATTGCAAATTAAACTCTAGAATAACATAGTACTATGTTTACTAATAAAATATAACAACTCCGGGATTTGGAGAGGCAATTTGCTTAGGTCACCCACTGTTGCATTACGCTCCACATGCATGCGTATCCTTTCGACCTCCTCCCGTCTGACACGGGGAAAGATGGATGAGTCTGCTCCCTTACAGAAGAGCAGTGTATCACCTACGCACAAACATACAGACACACAAACGCACAGCATGGTAAGTGCTGAGGGCCGACACTAAATCACGCTCAATGCAATAAACCTGAAAGCAATCTCAAGCTCACCTGATTTGGATCTGACTATTACACTCATTCGCCTTCTCACAGGGTCAAAGTTCAACACATGGAGCAGTTCATACCTTTGGGAAATAAACAAATATAAATAAATATGAAAGCTAAATAACATAAAAGCTACAGTGCAAATGTAAATGTAAAAATATGAATATAAAGTAAAAGCTGCTAACTTACATTTCAACGTCATTGTTCCTGTTGAGAATTTTCATGGTTTTGCTTTCAAGACCCAGAAATGTGAAGCCATACCTGGAGATGGAGACAAATCACAAATGAGCCCTTTATGTCCTCTTGCGCTCTTTGACTAAAGGCTGTAATGAAATGTATACCATCTAGGACTTTCTGAATACCTTCTATGATATTCATGTTCATATTACATGACAGCTCATTCTCTTACCTCATGGCACCCTTGACCAGAGCAACCTCATCAGGTGAGGAAGCTATAAAGCCTCTCTGCTCCTGCAGAGGATGGACAACTTCTCCATCCACCCCTAGGCCATCCACCTCGTCTATCAGTCCATCCCTTTGGCCTTGACCCTGCTCTGCAGACTCCTTCACCTGGACTGTGTGGCACAGACACAGGGCACGCAGAAACAGCTCCTCCTTCTCCTAATAACACAACATGGCTTAATACAGTAAAATACAATACAGTACACTGTGTTTAAATTAAATGAATTGAATGAGCAATTTTTACTATTACATAAAATGTATGTATTTACAGCCTCACATGGAGCCACATACAGTAGCTGGAGTTTAGATTAAGCCGTGGATTTACAACCACTCGTCTAAGTTGAATTTTATCAACATGCATGTTTAAGTACAACAGTCTGTAAAGTGTTATCAGGTGCGAACAGACAGCCACATTGCTCGCCCTCCATGTTGAGTGCTTATGTTGACATGTCAAGGAGACTGTATGCAGGTGACCTATGAAGGGTCTTTCTGAGCAGCGAGCTATGTAATGGCCATATGTTGCCGCTTGTGTGACTTTTACAACAGATGGAGGGACACGACAACACCCACCCTGCCAGCTTTCTGCTGTAGTTTGCTCACAGGTCCATCTGTGACACAGAATCCGTCCAACTCTGAGCTTGCATCCCGGTACTTGTACTGGAAACCATCGATGCAGCACTCAATGAACTCCATGTTATTCTGAGTGAGGGTGCCCGTCTTGTCTGTGAAGACATACTCCACCTGCAGGCAATGTGATAAAAGTACATGACAGACTCTTCCAAACCCATAAAAATTCAGCTGCCCATTTAACAGGTTCCAACAATAAGATTAGGCAATTACGGCCAGAAAGAATTACACAGCATTAATCAGTTTAACGAAGCATCACCTTTAATTGACATAATCATCTGGCAAACCAAATGTGACTGATATATGGCAGCCCTGTTTGAGTTAGACGTGCCATAAAAAACAGGAGAAGACAGGACAGCACAGCTAATCTGGTGCAGCTTATATTTAACATAAGCACCGTACAGATCAGTCTGGAGACTCAATCCTAACTTGCTCTAACCTGTAATTTGGCTTTTTTTCTTTTTAAATTTCAAGTATTAAAATGAACAAAATGTTACAGAAAATATTTTTGTAATTTAAAAAAAATTACAGGTTTTTAATTGACATACAAATGCTGAGTTTACAGAAAGCAGTTCCCAAGTGACACAAATTTCTGCCATTTAAATGTGGCTTCATTTAATTTTGTCCATCTGCCTGACCTGTCCCAGCTCCTCATTGAGGTCGGAGGTGTTGACTAGTGCCCCTTCCTTGATTTCAGGGTCAAAGAAGTCCTTGTCCCATGTGATGAAAAAGGATCCCAAAAACTTTTGCATCTCAACCGTCACATACATGGACACCGGAATGATGAAGTTGAAGAGCACCATGAAGGACAGGAAGTCAGTGAACATTTTTAGGTACTGTTGGGAAAAAATGAGAACACAGGCACATATTTATCTTATCTTGTCATCAGATGTTGAAATACCAGTCTCTGCTATTTAAGCTAATTAAATTAAGTTATCCCATAGGAAAATTAATTCATTCATTCATTCATTAATTTAACCAAACTTAGGTGTTTCGAGCAGTGGGCAGCCACTGTGCAGCGGCTAGGGACCACCATGGACAACTTGGTCATGGGCATACACAATTAAGCTAACATCGGGAAATCACAGCACCTGGAGGAAACTCATGCAAACATGAGAAGAACATTCAAACTCCACACAGAAAGGCCCCGCCTGGATTCAAACCCAGGACCTTCTGGCAGTGTTAAACACTGTGAAACTCGGAAAATGTATTGACTACAGGCTGACTACATTACACTCCGTGTGCATAACATGCATGATGTGCTCACATTAAGACCAGTAGTCTTATATTATCCATGACATGATGGAAATCGTAATGTTGTATCACAATGTTCACAGTTCATTGAACGCTAGGGCAGAAGATTAAAAGCCAAGGAAATGGAGCATGTTACGATGTAGGTCTAGTGGCCATATTGCTGAGGAGAGGTTTATTAGTGTGGATCAGAAGAGGCTGTGGCATGTACAGTAAAATTCTTCAATACAATGGAACTGTGACCTAGGCTAAAACTACAAGCCTCCACAGGGTAAGTATTTACCCTATTAACAGGGGCCTTCAAGGTATACTAACTCTTGCAATACACATAATACTGTATTTCTATACCATTTTTGATATAAGCCTGGTTTGGTTTTAACAGTTCATTGTATCAACAACAAGGACAGGCAGGTTGCTTAAATGTGTACTCACTAGATTGGTCTCCTTCTCTCTCTGGGTTTTCTCATTGTACCACGGTTCATCCTGTCCGGGCTTGCTCTGCCACACATACTTAAGTGTAGTGCACACAAGGGCCTTGCTCACCAAAATGCAAAGGTAAACCAGAAGGAAGGCATTGATAGACCTGAAAATATAAGGATTGAAATGAATAATTACCAAAGGTAAGTCACAGAAATATTGAAATTGTTTACACTGTTTCCTATAAACTTACTTCTCCACAGCAGAGCGTTTCTGAGACTTGCCCTGGTAGTTGAGAGCCATCTTTGTCTCCATGCCAGTGTAAACTGCAACACCTTGAGAAAGAAAAGGGAGGAGAAAAAGAAGGATTAGATTATTAGATACTGAGCTATCTTCAATCATATTAGTTATTGTACTATAGTTAATATCCTTATTACTCACCACAGATTTTTTGAGTGTTCTTTAAAGTTGCCCCTTTCAGCAGAAGGTTTTCTGGGCCCAAAGACCTGCACAATCACATCAGTAGATCAAACAGTTTAGTCATACAGAAGCTGTGCAGTCCACACACTCCATTCTCTAAATGGAAACCTGGCAGGCAAGCTGGCATCCACTCTAAAATGCGCAGTGACAATACACAGTATGACTGCAGTCTGGGCTTACATGGGTCCCAGTGTTCTTGAGAAGGACACTGGCATTTGTTTATATGGCCACTACAAAGCAGTCAATGATAAATGCCTGTGGGAGTGCTTTGGAAGCAGTGGCTGAAGTGATGCCAACCTGTTTTAATTTTAATGCTTGTCTGCAATGAAGCATCAATGGAATAATGATTTGTTCCTGATGCAAAGGGAAACAAATGAGCGCTTAAGCAAGTGTGTTTTGATTTTGCTGTCACTTAAAGCAGGCTCAGATAGTTGTGCACCAGTGCTCTCACCTTACTGTAGGCTCCTGATCATTTTTGTAGATGTGCATACGGCCAACAAACCTGGAAAATAAATTACATAGGCAGTCAGAAGCTAAAGCCATTTATAAAATGTATGTGTGATATTTGTTTTGCATATTAATGAATAGAGTGGGTTTGAACTTGAGGTATCCAAATCCATGAGTCCAAAAACTGTAAGTACTCATTGACCTAAAATCAGTTGCAGAGGTTTGGGAGCCAGCTAATTACTGGTGGTTAGCCAGCAGCACGCTGTCAGTTTTATTGACTCTGAATAGCAAGCATTTGGCACTATGTCTTACTTAGCACGTCTCAAACACCATTCTGATGGCTGGCTTAATGACAATATTCCTACTCTTTGTCCCAAGGGGGAGCCAAAGGCTGTCTGTTGATAAAGCTATGATTCCTACAAGTGAATAAAAATCAACTCTGTGCTGCATAGACCAAAGATAACTGGAAATATCAAGCCCACTTTCACTATTCCTAATATTAAACCAACCAAGCATAAGTACACTATGAATAGCCAAAACATCTGCACTTAACAATCAACATGTTAATATTAGAGTAATTTAGGGCATTTTCAAATGGCATCGAGTGAAACCATGGCCCAACAAACCACAGGCAACACATGCTTGTGGTGTAAACTTGTTGGGGCCACATGATGAGAGCCTACTTGTAAAGGTCAGGCTGTGGCTGTTCACACTCAATGGTGGCGTTGAGAGATTCCAGATCCTTCTCTGTGTCTGGCACTGTGTAGTGTGTCTGGACAAGTGGAAGAGGCAGAGAGAGACAGAGAATGAGCGCTGACTGGCTCAGGTCAAGAGATCATTTTAGCCTTCCCCTACCCCTCACAAATAGACACCACAAGACAATAGGAAGACAAAAGATACCCAGAAATCTGCGACTAACACTTTGAACACAAAACGGAACAAACACATATTTCTGAGGAACTAGACAAGGGAGAAACTTGAATTTTCTTCAAAGCAAAAGGTGACACATTCAACTTCACTATCTTTGAAAATGTATATATATATATATTCTAACTACTATTAATTCAAAGAATACAATTAATATGAGATATGTCCAGGTAAGTGCATGTAAAAAAAATTGCAATAACAAAAGACACATTAAAACATAAAATATATTAAAGTAAACATTAAGTGACTATAAGTAATATAATAACAAAATTACAACCTAACCATTCTGTTATGAAAAAGGGACAGCAGAACAGCCCATCTTACTTTATGGTTAGACTCTCCGTCCAGACTTGCTGTGGTAACAAAACATGTGTCGTCGTCTCGGCTAGACTGCAGGAGTATTAAATCACAGGGGAAAGTCTCATCTTCCTCCACCTCCACAACATCTCCAACCTGATCAAAGAAAACACAACCAAACACCACTTATCACAGTTTGCTTTCTCCTACTTCTTAGGCACCGGGTGACAGAGATTTAAACAATCAATTTTGCCTCTAAGGAGCAAAAAGATTTCAAAATAAACTTACATCACTGCCAATTTCCTATCATGTTGCTGTGGTTAATTTGATTGCAAACAACTGCCTATTTAAAGATATAGCATAAACAAGCAACATGGGCCTCCCTGCGGAGTCCCCCGTCCAACTGCAAGTCAGTATTCGCTCACCTTTTTAGGTTTGATCTGCAAACTACTGACAAACTCTGGCTCTCTTTGGCTTGCTAAATGTTTACTTTAGCTTGAGTCCATTTAGCACTAGGAGGTAGCTCACAGCTAACTTGTGTGAGCTCCTGTGCTGGGAGCAGCTGTCCACAGTGTTTTGACAGCTGGATGTTGATTCTCAGTGGTATCAGCAGCACAAGCAACCCTTAGCCACATCCAGAACTCATTTGGTTCACTTTGAATGTGGTAAAATATTGTTTAAGGTGTGTTTTGAACACCCATGCATCTTTGAAAATACTGTTAACTGCAGCAAACAAATAAGAATACATTGGAGAAATTACCTGCACACAACACCCTTGATACATTAATTACCATCACACCCATGTTTGAACATCTAATCAGTTCAGCAGAGCATGTTCTCCCCTGCGCATATATTCCAAATACAGTCATGCCGAGCTGCCAGCAGCATCTCTTTGGACATGTCTCTAAGGAAATATAAAAGGTACCTTGATCTTCTCACTCTCCTTCTGAATCCTCCCGCCATCCTCTAGCACTGTCACTAGGTACTTATTCACCTCATTGTCAGCCTTGTGCCGTAGCCAGTCCTCATAGCCCTACGGCAACATATCAAAATCAGATTTGCGTTATTTGCTTAGTACAACAAAAAGTACAAAAGTTTGTCTCTGTGGGATTACTACCCACAGGACATTGACAACTAACAGCAGTTTAGTAGAGTGCAAGACCCAAAGAAATGTCCGTGCATACAATATCTTTACATTTAGTACTTCATCGTTATGTGAAAAAGAGTGCCTACAGCAGCAGAATGGGATAGCAATTGTCCAGCAGTGCGTTGGAACAGTATACCATGAAATAACACTGAGTCGGGTAAAAAAGAATAATTCCTGGGACTGCAGCAGCATAAGGCACAAAGCCTAGTGTAGACTTCATAAGTACTTTAAGATAGTGATGGAGATAGAGGAGATGGTGCAGAGATGCAGAGGGTAGAGAGGGAAACCAGACTGTGTGCCAAGGCGGAGCTTGAGCCAGAAAGTGGGATTACCGGGAAAGGTGATAGGAGGAGAGAGAAAGTCTGGTTGACTGATGCAGAGAAATGACGCCAGGTGGATGAAAGGGGGAGAGAGGGGAGGCATTCCACGGATGGTCAGTTGAACTATACAGTTCTCAGCCTGACTAATGGAGTCAGGCTGACTGCCTTGGTGTCCCACTTCAAAGCCTGGCTGAATGCGATCCAGCGCTATCAGTGCGTCCCATATATTTTCAGAAGGAAGTCCACCCACTATTGTGCATTTCAAAGCCCCAGCAGGACACTAAACTAAAAAGCCAATCCTAAAACAATACATCTAAAGCTGGGACACGGCAGCAACAGAGTGAAAGAAACAGACACTCCCCTTGATAATTTGTATCTCTGTAATAGACTTGCTCTCTCGCTCTCCATTTGCTCACTTTCACAGAGCCAATTTCGTCTTCCTCCCGATCAGAATTCACCAGTGGAGCACATTAATACAAAACCCAAGAGAGCATTAGTCACGTACTTCATACAAAAATCACAGCAAGGGAGTTATGAACGCAGAGGAACGCATTATGTTATATAGAGAGGGAGGAAGGATGTAAGGCAATGAGAGAAAATAGGAGGAAACAAGGACATGGCAAGTGAACTCACAATCAAACAACCATCAGCCTCATTAGGCAGTGTCTTACCTGCTTTATAGCGGTTACTGTGATCACAAAAAATAAGGGTAGGCCACTGGTGACTGGGCTGGTGGGGGTGTCCACTATCACCTATTGGGGGAAAAAAAGAAAAAACCACTAAACAATAAACATATGACCTTCAAACTGAAAAGCTATTCATTAAATACTATACATTGATACAAAGTCTGACTGCAGCACATGTGTGCTTGTGGTAACCGAAGGAGGAGTTTACAGCGCGCCAGCCCTCTAAATGCAGGGTGTAGTCTGCTTCTGTGAGGCCTTTCTATGCTATTCCCCAAATTTGTACATCAGTAGGAAACACAGGGGAGACATTTACATTTTGGAAGGGAGCGAGGGAGGTTCTGGAGCACAGAACTTTTAATCAACTGGGCCAGGGACAGAGTGCTTAATCTGCAGGCAGGCCAACACTTCTGTGTCACTGCCAAGGTATGGTAGAGGGCCAACACAAAGCTTTGCTGGACTCACCTTACCTACCTGAGCTGTGTGTGAGGGAAACTAGTGGTACACTATGTGTTGCAATTTTATGCTTGTGTGTTATAAGAATAAGTGTGGGACCTGTGATCAGGTAATCCCAAATAGCCAGTTTAGCAGCAGCACCTGACCAAAGCTCCCAGCTAAAAGCCCAGTACACAAATGGCCCTGTGTGTTTGTGTGTTCCTTAAAACCATCACAAGATGGATTTACCCTGGCATTTCTGATCCTGTAGAATGCAGGCTTGTTTCCCCCCGAGCCGGAGTGCGTATTCCAGCACGCACATACACGACACATCCAGTTCGTTGGTATTCTGACCAGGAGCATTACAAGCTGTCAGATAGGCATCAGCTCAAGGAAGAGCAGGAGATGCCTTTTGAAGCAGTCTCCGGTGTTTTACTCACCAGTGCTTGGACTGAGAATGAAACAAAAACCTACTGCTCTCTCGGTCATCGCAGACAGACGTGAACACAGCCACATTCTGTGCCTACACACACCTACGCACGCCTACTCACACATGCACACACTCACAGACTGTACAAGGGCAGTGAACTACAAGCCTACCCAAGCTTTACTGTGATTACAATTAACTGGAGGATAAATCAATTACGAGTTAGAGATGGACTAGTGCGCATCGACACTTTGGAGGAGTGCAGATTCAGAGGAGAGTCTGCATTATATTTGTAGTGGTTGGCAATTCGGGTGAGACAAGCAAAAGTAATAATTCTGCCGCAGTAGCCTCAGGTGTTGAGAGACAGAGGTGAGAGGACTCAATGCTTCAAAAGAGCAGTGAGTGTACATGAGCAAAGTATATGGGGCTCTGTGTTAAAGACTCATTACACCTGACACACCGCTATAGGCTGTGTAGCTAGTGGATTATGGAATGCCTCTTGAGAAAAGCTTGGTTTACCCCGGTCATGTTAGCCTTCCACTGTTTGGCATGACCAGATCCTCCAGAGAGATTCCCTTAGCTGGAGAAAGGTAACAGAGCACTTTACTTTTGCCTATAATAAATCACACCGGCTATTCACGTGACAGGATTGAAGGTTGGCTGATCACAGAAAGCAAAAAAATAACTTCAGGAAGGACTGAGGACAACATGTCCCCTCTGATGCAGCAGCCAGGTGGTCGAACTTGACAAAACCCTAACCCTACAGCACAGAGGGAATGCTTTTAAAAGCTTTAAAGTAAACGTTGCTTAAGGTTGATTTTTCTTTGGCACTTCTACAATTCAACAGAGGACTATAAAAAGAGACAAATGATGGTTGTGTCTTTTTTAGTATTCTTCAACAGTGATTCTAAAAAAAAATTTCTTTTATTGTTACATTACGGACTTGACCACCTTCAAGGACAGCCATCATTTTTGGAAGAGTGTAAGGGGTAACAACTTCTCTTTAATGCGTCAATAGCATCATTATTAAAAAAACACTGCAATGGCAAACTCCTAAAAAGAAAACTAAAACCTACACAAAACCTTCAGCTACTGTACTTCTGCCAAATCACACACAGTTGTTCCCAGAGCTTTTCTTTCAGTTTATCTGCACGGATTCACAACAATCCCCACCAAACTTTCACATGGCCAAATGCCTTTCCTCCTCTGCACCAAAGGCAAAGCCAAAAAAAAATCTCTCAGCATTAGGAGTGAACTGTGTACTGCTGCTGCTGATGTGCTGGTGTGATATCAGAGCTGCAGAGCGGAGCAGCACAAAACCCTTCATCTGAGCCGGGAAGTGTGTCAGAGTGAGCGACAGACAGCAGATTCCCCCGGGGTCCCAGGGCAGTGTTGTGGGCCGTTCGCATCCCCTTACTACACCCTTCACCCTCTCGTTCTGCCTCTAACCCTCTCTCTCCCTTTTCTCGCTTACTCTCTCGCAGCGCTCTATTCCCATTCGATCAAATTCGAGCAAAGACATGCAGGGCTATTTATAGGAGAGTGGTGCTTTTTTATCAGCCTGTGTCTATTTGTGGCACTCAGAAGTACAGAGGGCTTCCTGGCTGCTGACGTCAGCAGTGCAGCGCTGCAGAGAGATGGGTGGAATGTGAGAGAGAAAGGGGGGAAAGAAAGACCGAAAGAAAGAGAGCAAGTGACAAAGGAAGAGAGACAAAAGGAGGGTAGGACGGAGTTAGAGGATGCATGACATTTGGTTGTTGGTAGAACATTTGCATGAAGCCTCTCAGGGGAAGTGAAGGTTTATTTCTGTCTGCGATATGCGAGTATGCGAGTGCAGAATGAGTCCATACAGAGTCTGTGTACCTGTTTCTCTCTCATCCTCTCTCTCTGATATAATAGCAGGCTGCATGGGGAAAAACTGAGTGGTTAGGATAAGGAGCCCCTCAAGAGAGGCTGGATTAGTGGAGAAACGCCAACCACGCTGCAGCTTGGGTAAACACCGTCAGCAAACCCAGGACACCCACTGAGTCATACATCACACGCACAAGCACATACACATACGCATACATACAATATATTCACACACAAACAAACATTCTACGCTGCACGCATCACACACACTGATAATCCTTGTGCGTTTCTGTGAGTGATGCAAACATGCTTGGTGGTTTACTCCCACATAAATGTACTGCATTAGCTCAAGATAATTTCACACATTAGCTCACAACTGTTCAAAATCCAGGACCTTCATCCATTAGCTGAGGAGTTAAACCAGACTAACTGGAAAATAAAGGTTACAGCTGCTAAAATGCTTCAACTGTAAATACAGGTAGAACCAAGAGCCAGAGGACAATATAAACACTGCAATTGATCTGCTATTGGCTAGAGAATGATGAGATTACTTTGTGACAGCAGCACACAGATATTTCTCAGTTTAGTACAGTGCTGGGCTTCTGGGAGCAGTCACTCTGTGAGCTCATTCAGTCAGTATGCAACGAGAGAAAGCACATCCCTCCTGAGCTGGCCCAGCACCAGCACCTGTTTACACTAGAGGGCTGTTTGCCGCCATAGTTTAGGTTACTGCTAAAAGCAGAGAGGTTAGTTTCCACCTCTATGGATCAGAAAGAGAGGGGAGAGAAAGAAAGAGATGACAGAAGAGCAGGAGCAGATGCAAGCAACAAATCTTTTTTTTGTTTTTTGTTCCCCACGCCAATCAACTGTCACACTCTCACACTCTTGAGAGGAGAGGAGAGGAGAGGAGAGGAAATGAAAGGAAAAGAGAGGAGAAGAGGTCACTTAAGAGCACAGAGCAGGGGAATAAGGATGCCAGTCTATGCATTTTAGTCAGCACTCTTGGCCAACTCAAGTTTCCACTTATAAGGACAGGGCAGCACGCACAAAACTTTTTGGTTTTTTTAGAAGCAGTGACAATAACAATTACATACATATTTCTATATTGCACAACATGTTTTGCAGATTGCCAAAACTATGTGATTTTTGAGAGTGAATGGTAGAATATGAATTTATAAACATAAAAAAAGATTGACCTTTGGAACAATGTACTAGACACAAAATAGGTGGGATTAATGTATATTAATGCCTAAATCTGAGCCAGCTTGTGTGTCTGGATGTGTCTTGCATATATATAGATATTTCTTTAAATATTTTTTTTTTATAATTTCACTTGATTCTCTTTTACTCATTTGTTTATATCTTGATGTAATTTCCTTCTTTAACCAACCTTAATTTCGTGTAAGACAGCAGAATGACATTAAAAAAAAACAACATGAAAAACACACACGCACACACTAAAGTCTCATGGGAATATATAGCAGGAATAAAAAGCAATTTTGACACCTGCTATGATTGCACACACATTTCACACCCACAGTGCTATGTTAACAAGCCCAGTATCTGCTTCACACCTGCCACAGCTACATGCAAATGGATACACTCTCTCACCCTACTTTTCCTACAGGGGACACACACTACAGAACACAGGTTGTGAAGCAAAGTTGGATGAGACACACTGAACCATTCAGATTGTTTATTTAAAGGGTTAAACCCATTGATAACGGAGAGCGATAAACAAAGGTTTATCTTTGTTTGTGTTGGAGCACTGACAATGCTTGTCCTTACCTGCACCAGGAAGATGATAAGGAAGTAGAAATTGGCAATTCTTCTAAACTGTTCAAACAGGTTCTTTGGTAGAAAGTTCCAAACTGTATACTGTGGGAGGGGAGAGAGAAAAACATGCACATAGGTCACAGAGACATAAAAAGGGTATCAGAGTTTGTGGACTGCTTTTTACTGCTCCTTTCTGTGTAATTTTCCCTTCCAGGCTTTATGTTTTCAGCCAAACTTATGGAGGTTAAAGAAAAGCTTGGCAAGGGGTGAGAGATTAGAGGCATTCAATATTCACAGACTCTTGCAAGTGTGCATTCTGTCTGCACTGGGGGGGGGAGAGGAAAGGCAACTTCAATAGCTAGGAGTCTCTATTGTTTGTACCGCCTAGGGAGACGGCCTTTGGGGGAACCCACAGGTATTCTATTGATTAGCGATGTAGCTCCTCAATTTGGCTACCCTTGAATCCAGAGCCAATGAACTTATCAGGTTGGTAACTGTTTTTGTGTGTTTTGTTCTTTTTTAAGTGGCCATGACTGCTGATACCATCGGGGCTGAAGCAGCACTTTTATCTGCTGAAATCCCTGAGAGACATCTCGACAAAACCCTGTTGGTAACTTTGTGTCACACAACAAAGGACCAGGGTGAAAAACACAAATGCGTACACATGCGTACACACACACAGAAACAGCAATAAGGCACTGTTTATGAAGGGGAATGTGTGTATGGGGATGGCGCTGAAATGCAGCGGCAGCAGAACGGCCCATCTCATTTTGCCAGAGAGAAAAGAGAGTGAAAGTAATGAGAAAAGGGGGGTGGCAGCAGTGAGGGTGGCTGAGCGCGGTGGTGCAGTAGCAACGAGAGGAAGAGAGAAGAGAGGGTGATTGGTCATTGCAGAGTGCAAAAGCAACAGGATGATGGAGAGCAGATGCATGGAGGAGCATAAACACTACAGCCGGGGTAATTAAAGGCTGTTTACCCTGACATACTGGCAGGAGCCAATTGATTGGCCCATCCTCACTGGGACCCTCTGCACCACTATAAATCCCACTGCCTTCTTACTCTCATGCCGCTTCCTTCTCCTCATCACTTTCACCCTTCATATCCATAAGCCAACCTGCCTGAGACTGCCGCTGACACAGGAATTAGGGGTGAGATTTAGGTGAGGGGAGGTGGGGACGAGCGCAGCCTATCCGAGCCCAGGGGGAAACGGAGGAATTGCCCACCCTGCCAGTACATTAATAGCAGCCATGTTTTTCACTGTCACAGCCAGCGCTCCCCTGACAGACAAATAATCGCCTTTCCGTTGGGAGCAAAGACGAGCATGTGGAGAGGCAGTGGGAGGAGGAATAAAGAAAGGAAGACATAGGAATGCTCAAGACTGTTCAAGGGTTCATTTAGCATTTTAAGTGTTAGATAAGTATGCAGAACTGCCTGAAGGCAGGTGAAACATAATGCGCAGAGAAGCTGAGAAACATACTGAAGTATATGAATTTCATCTTGGTACATACGCATGTGAGTGTTTCTTACCTTGGAGGACACAATCCTGTTATCACAGAACTTGGGTGGGATGAAAGCCTCAGTGGCGGAACACGACCGATGACCAACATAGATAGTCCTACTGTCTACTCTTCTCTCATCACCGCCAAGCTAGAAGAGGACACAGCAGAGAGGGGGGTGGAGATGAGATGAGATGAGATAAGGATAAAAAGAAAAGGGAAAGAGAGGACATGTTAATAATTGAAGGTACTTCTCTTCACTTAAACAATCAGACATTAAACAGGTTGAATCTCACAAAAAATAAAAAGGGTACTGTAAAAGGAAATGACTTCTTGAAGGTGAGCCAAAACTACTTAAAATCAATAAACAAAAGAATTGTTTCATGGTGCATAGTTATTTCAGGGTTTGTTGTGGCTAAAATATTTTACAGTCTGCTGAGGCCTTAATTCCACTCACAGGTCAAGAATTAAGAGATTAGAATTTCTACTGCGGTGCAGAAAATCAAAATGACTTGAAAAGCACTCTAGTAGAAAATTGTTGAGAAGGAGCCAATAACTCAGAGAAGGGACAGAGAAAAGGATGACAAGGGTCAACGGGCCAAAATGGTGATTGTGCGAGGACTATAACTTAATTTCCTCTCTCCCAGGTGGTCACTCATCGATGATAAACGAGTAATAAATGCATGCAGCCAGGAGAAAAATGCTGTGCTCGGATTTATAGGTTGAGCAACCTTGTCCTGATGCAGATGGCAGGGTAATGTGTGCACGCACACAATAGCTCATTATCTGTCAGCAGAAAGACTTAAGGAAAGAGGTCAGGAGCCACATTGGACTGCCCTCAACATGAGGTGGCCGGGGCATTCCTCTTCCATAAAAGGCAGGTAGGATGAAGCACAGGGCAAGGCAGGGAAGCCAGCTCGTTGTCCTAACTTCACTTTACAGTAGCTTTCCTTACATAAATCTCCTAAACAATAGTATAAGCGATGACCCAAAAAGAAACTAAAGAAATTGTCAGGTAGGACGTTTTTCTTTTTTTAATTCAAAATCAGTTTTTCCTACAGTGTGTGGAACTGACTGGGCTCAGTCTTCTGTGTGTGAACCTCAGGCACATATCAATTCTTAACTATAAGTGGGGATACTTTTCTAATTACACATTGTTCTAAAAAGATTATCAAGCTACATTGTTACAGTGTTATAACATCATATTAGTGCATCACTAGCATTAAGATTTACCATCATTTCTTGGGATCTTAAATAAATCCTGACTGCACACAAGCACACAACAGATGTTTCTGTCCTACAGAATGTAGCCTAGAAAACTTGGCATATGGTGTTCTCTCAATGGCCTCAATTTCTTTCCTGACTTTGGCTTTGAGTGGACAGCCACAAGGACTGGAGGATCACAGCAGTGTACTGGATCACTCAGAGCTACACCCACATTTGTTTTTACCTCCTCTTCTTTCTTATCCTCAAGCATGTTACTTATCTTACCATGGATAAACAACCCTCTCATTTGTTTCAAGGGTGAACTAATTGATCAGTCAATAAACTGATCAGATGAATAAGATATCACAGTGATAAGCTGTTGAACAATCTGAGTACCAAATTAAGTGATATCTATGTTATCTGTATATGTGTCTGCGGTTCAATGTTATACATCAATTAAGCAAGAAAGTAGGCTAATTAAGATCTCATGAATGTCCCTTTGTGAGGAATCTTGAGGTCGGAAATTATATTGGTGACAATTTATCATAAATCATTCCAAGAAACTCTTGTGTTTGTGCATATTGTCAGTCAGTTGTTGTCCGTCCATCCTATTGACCCAGCAAAACTTTGGTCCGTGGTTGGACCATGACTAGCCTAATCATCCCCCTGAGTGGTGAGAAATGTGCCCCCCCACCACTGTTCCTAAGGTTGTGTGCCATTCCTACTAAACATGCTTGATATTTGTGACACCTTAGTGACTTGATCAGTGGTCCATGAAATTGTGACAATTTTGTTACTAATTTAATTCAATTCAATTCAATTCTATTTGTTTAGCGCCAATTCATAACAGAAGTTATCTCAGGACACTTTTCAAATAGAGCAGGTCTAGACCGAACTCTTTATAACATTATTTACAGAGACCCAACAGTACCACCATGAGCAAGCACTTGGCGACAAGGGCAAGGAAAAACTGCCTGTTAAAAGGCAGAAACCTAGGACAGATCCTTCGGCTCTAGATGGGTGGTCGTCTGTCTCGACCAGTTGGGGGGAGAGAGAGAGAGAGAGAGAGAGAGAGAGAGAGAGAGAGAGACAGAGAGAGACAGAGAGAGAGAGACAGACAGACAGACAGACAGACAGACAGACAGACAGACAGACAGACAGACAGACGCACAGCAACAACAGTATTGGCAATGGCAATTTAACTAAGTCACTCTTAACTCCAGTAATTAGGAAGTTTTTGTTTATGCTTTATGCTCACCCTCTTTCTCTCTCACTTAATCCCCACAATTTCAACCAGAGATTAAAATCGGCAAATACTTATTTGTATAGTAAGGAAAGAGAGCACACCTGAACAAATGCTTTTTTAACAAGCTTGTCAAACCACAAAACAAGTTACATCTTGAAACATTAACGCTAATTCCAGTTTACCCTCTGCTTAAATTACACAAATAACATGGGACATGGTTTCCAGTGAAGCGTTTAATTTTTTACTATTTATTTATATTGTGCACTTTCACAAGTGTCATTTTTAAACAGACATCTGTTAAGACATCTAAGTTAAAGGCATTATTTCAATGGTGATTAAAGAAAATAATGCTTGATCACATCTGAAAAGCGACAAGCAGACTGCTTGTCTTTAACAAGCTTGTAAACGTCCCAAACTATTCATTCTTTTCTCCTCAGTCAAAACCAATATCCATGTGAGGACCCTACCCACTTTCTTAAATGCAGTTGCGCTCTAAGCCTACGTGCAGGTTGCAAAACTATTACGGTGTACATTATTAAGGTTATGCAGGCAGGCGATCTGTTTTATATAATACAAAGGCAAGCAACATGTGGGCTGCGGGAACATATTACCATGAACATCTGATCCTGGACAAGTGCCAGGAAACGTGTGAATTACAGCCACCTGGACAACGAGCTGCCAAAAGTCTGATGCTGACAAAAAGTTAGATCAAAGAATAACCTCAAACACTTGGAAGCCTGATGTATGCATGTGGGGACAAACACACAAGTTACATAACTCAATTCTATAGAATAATTTGCTCTAATTTATTGTCACATAACACAAAAAAGACCAAATCGACATCTTAATTCTGAAATATTTCCCATTGTCTCTCCCGTCCAGCTCAGAGAAGAGAGCCAGCAGGCATACATAGTGCTCACTTATGCATGAGCAGCCATGTTCACACCTCAGTATAGCTGTCAAATCTACCATCCCCTACCCGCTCGGCACACACTGACACTGCTTCAGCAGGACCGGACGGACCTGGCTGCTAGAGGAGGAAGGGGGAGGGGGGGCAGAAAGAGTGGGAGGAAGAACGAGTGTGAAAGAGAGGAAGTACAACAGGATCCAAGGACACAACTACATCCAGGTTTTCTATAGCAAACAACAACCAGCCCGCAGGAGGAGCAGTACACCAAGAACACCCCCATGGACTACCTTGATCGTTTATTTGAAGCTGCAGTGTTTCAGGAAGTTATCCTTCCTTTCTGTGTACTCCGAAAGATGCCATCTACAAATGTAATAGCAGCATTCCAGATATGCAATTCTGCGAACACCTAATATAACATTAGGAAGCAATGTAGGACCAGAAAAAGCAATCATGTACAAAGGGCTGTGCAAATAAAAAAAACAAAGTGCAAGTAAGGAACAATTTACAAACCAAATTAGCCTTGAGTCGAAGGACTTGCAAAGGGCTCTGGCTTGTACTCCAGAGTTACAGGTCAGACAGTCAACAGTATTAGCTGGCTGTCTTCCACTAGTGCCAATCTTTCACCTGTGCCCATTTCTTTAGGATTGATTATGCACAAGAGCCATGCTAATGCACACAGCTTCAAGGTTGCAGGGCTATCAGATAAATAAACGCTAATCTTTATGTAGACTTAGGGAACACTGTAGCAAAAGCCACCATAAGGAAGCACTGGGATGATTCTCACAAAGAAATGTACCTACACACGCATAATTCATGCTGAAAATGAGATTCTATATAAAATGAGCAAGTAGTCCATGCCCTGGGGTCCTAAAGATAAGAAAAGAACTTTAGAATGGCCATTGATTTAGTGGTGAATTCACTGTAAAATATAATGAGGGTCAGACCATGGGGCCCACTTCATTTTTGAGCGATTACGTGATCGCAATGCTCATCTACAAAATAGTGAGCTAAAGCCACACAAGAAATGCTAATGTAAGGAAAAATAGAACTGATTGAATTATCTGTGCCTCATTGTCAAAGGTCAAACAAAGCCATTCAATGCCAATGATGTTAGCAAGTAAAGCTAAAGTGGCCAAGAGTCAAGTGCCAGTATGTCAATACCAAAACAGAAGATTCATCCTTGATGAAAAAGCATCAGCTACAAAACGTGAATGAAGATCAATAAAGCAAACATCCAATGTTCAATCGAGCTGAAATCTAATTGCTCAGTCAGACATAAATGGTGCATTAGAGAATTGAATGAGCCTGAAACTTTACATTATGCTCTAAATTAGATTATGCACACATTGTGAAATGAGCACAGGATGGTACGAGGGGGGGAAAGGTGCGTCACTGAAAGCAGGGAGAATATAAGACTGCATTCATCTACTGCCAGACTCACAATGATGACTCGGGTCTGATGACATTGCGTCCTGTCACACCATCTCACTATTCAGTGACTATCCCGCTTTGTCACAATCTGCATGTTGTTATCTGAACAGACACACTGGGTAACCAGAAAATTACAAGGCCCTGTATACTGTAATACAATCCATCACAACAGTAACTTTCTGACAGAACAACCTTTCTAAAACCTTAGATTTTTAAATACAGCTGACACTGTATCAGAGAGGTATTGATTCAACTCTGGTGCTTTCTGGTGCTGTAGTATGTGGAGTTGTATTGGATTGCATTATAATTCTATTACTATATAAGTTAAAAAGGTGGACAAATAGTCCCAAAAAAAGGG